CCATTCAGCTGTGACTTTGTGAGAGCACGAGGGAGAGAAAATGACTGACTGGTGTTGTTTGTTTAGCTCATACTCAGACAGGGGCCCGCAGTGACAATAGGACCCCAGTAATGTATGAATCACAGCTCTGTGGTCCCAAGGGGACTGGGGGAAAAGCAGTGCCAAGGACGATCAGAAAACATGCCTTGTTCATACTTCTTTTAAATTTTCAGTGGGGTGCTTAGTCTCCAAAGTAATGTTCCTCTTTGTGGTCTGGATTAACTGTTTAAACTGCTAAAATGCATTTCTCCAGGCCATTTGTTTCATCTCACATTTCCTGTTAAGGCTTTTAACACCCACCGTTTATTCAACATAAATGCATTGCTCTTTTACTTTTCATTATGAAGAATCAAGACTTTTGTTGGTTGTCCATATTTCAAATTTTAGGGGAATAATAAGTCGATGGTTAAATATGGGTAAAGGGAAAGTGGGTTGATTAGGAGGAATGCATTAAATAAACAAATCACAAGCCTTGTTAAACGTGCATGCTGTGTTTTATGTGCTGAAAAATGTTCAGGGGTGAACATTTTGCATGCTACTGTCAAATGCCCCAATTACAAATAATTTAAGTGGTAAACTCTCATACAAACAAACAAGAAAATGGGGGTAAATTGGCTGTGTCTATTCTCAAACTGACGGACAAAGCAGATAAATGAAAGCGCAGGCCGCATTAGGGACGTCCCACTTCTCTCTTCTTTTTTTTTTTTCAAACGGCTGCTCCCTCCCGCCAATGAGCAATGCGTCTGCTCGCTGTGGTTTCCTGCCTGGCCCCCTCCACATCCCTGCCTATAAAAACCCTGACTCTGCCTCTCCTCTGCACTTCTGCCTTGTATCTGAATCCTCAACGTCAGTCGAAGGACCAGCAGGCAAAATGGTGAGTAACAGCTCGGCTGATGACGTAGCCTCGACATTTCCACTCTCTCTTCCTGTCAGCCTCCCTTTGTCTGTGTTTCTCAACACAAGATGGATTAAACAACCGGGCCTCTGTAATTCTCATAAGGCCTTGGCTGAAGAGTTTAAGGTTACTGATTCAACAGCAGCTTTAACCTATTAAGTGACAACGGTTTTGGGTGGAATTTGTGTAATGAAACTTTCTGGGGGCATGTACGGAGAGAATTCAGAACGAGGTACGCGATGCGGTGGCGACTTATAAAGACTAGAATCCATAAGTCATCTCTGCCCTCTTGGACCATCGTGGTCAGATGACAAACAATACACGAGTTATTCTTTGAGGAACCGGTCAGAAAGCAGGAACCATATGCAGCTAAAGGAAAATCAAAATAGCGGAGTCTTGTGTATTTGTTGAAGAATTAAAGTAATGTTGCCTAAAAGGGAGTGACCAGGGTAATCGTGGCAGTAGCGGAATGGAGAGAAAGAAGAGAGAAAAGAGGAGTGGTCTGGCCGGGGCAGTATGAGTAAGTTGGCAGCCATTTTGCAGCTGTTAGGAGTTTTTGGTTGGGGAAAGATGTGGAGAGAGAAGGAGAGAGAGGGGGAGAGAGGGAGACATCCCTGACTGTTACATAGCACTGTGCAGCTGGACGGGATGGGGGAGGAGAGAGATTGAAACGGGGAGGGGGTAAGAAGAGGGAGGAGATACAGGATGGAGAAGTGGGGGAAGGCTTTATATCTTCTTTGGACAAGGCCTTTTTCTCTGCCACATAGTGCTCACATGTTGTGCTTTCTTTAGGAAACTACATAAAACATGTTTTTAGGCTGGTTGAAAGCGCCATTTCATCCGTGGCTGAATTTCCTGCTGACGTTTGACGTTTCTGCTTCAACAACAAAGAGGGCGGGACTCTGATCCAACAGCTGCTTCCTCACTCGTAGGCATTCGAAGCAGCTGAAAGCTTCAACATTCCGCCACCAGTTTGCAAGAGTCAACGTTTCTCTGTCGAATCAGCTCCAAACCGAGCGCAGAAGTCATACCAAAGATTATTATCTTACACAATGACCCACAATACAAACAAGATTTTTTGTGTTTCATTTCCTATTTTATGAGATTTGTGAACCATGAAACCACTCATTTGTTAGCAGTCAGTGTTGAATCAGAAAAACACAGAGAAACATTTGGATAGTAAATGAACATCTCAGGATGTGGTACCTTCCTCTAACCAGCCCCTGTGCCTTCTTCCAATCAGCGTGAGTGTATTTCCATGCACGTCGGCCAGGCCGGTACCCAGATGGGCAATGCATGTTGGGAGCTCTACTGTCTGGAACACGGGATCCAGCCTGACGGACAGATGCCCAGTGACAAGACTATTGGGGGAGGAGACGACTCCTTCAACACCTTCTTCAGTGAGACAGGGGCAGGAAAGCATGTTCCCAGAGCCATTTTCGTCGACCTGGAACCCACTGTCATCGGTCAGTAATGTTTAAATGTGTACAAATGAACGTGAACTAAGAAATACAACACAACTTTACAACTGCTTTCAAAAATCATCATAAGTTAAGTATTGCAGTTCAGAAATGTAATGTTTATAACGTAAATACCTCACTAACATGAACCCTTATTCTTGTTATGAATAGATGAGGTACGCACAGGAATCTACAGGCAGCTGTTCCACCCTGAGCAGCTGATTACAGGAAAGGAAGATGCTGCCAATAACTACGCCCGAGGACATTACACCATCGGCAAGGAGATTATTGATCTGGTGCTGGACAGGACTCGTAAACTGGTGAGAATTCTCTTTGTTTTCCAGTCAGGTAAAGCATTTGCTTAGTTTTAATGAGAAGTGCAGAAACAACATTTCCCTAGTTTCAAGATTGCCAAAGAAGTTTAGAATTTTCCAAATTAGTACTTTTCATATAGCTTCTGATATTGTGCGCCGGGTGGTATTTAAATAACCAATGCAAAATGTCCTCTTAGGCTGATCAGTGCACCGGCCTGCAGGGATTCCTAATCTTCCACTCCTTTGGTGGAGGCACAGGCTCAGGTTTCACCTCCCTGCTGATGGAGAGACTCTCTGTTGATTATGGAAAGAAATCAAAACTTGAATTTGCCGTCTACCCGGCCCCCCAGGTCTCCACCGCGGTGGTGGAACCTTACAACTCCATCCTGACCACCCACACCACTTTGGAGCACTCCGACTGTGCCTTCATGGTGGACAACGAGGCCATCTACGACATCTGCCGCAGGAACCTTGATATCGACAGGCCGACTTACACCAACCTGAACAGGCTGATCGGCCAGATTGTGTCTTCAATCACGGCCTCGCTTCGCTTTGATGGAGCCCTGAATGTTGACCTGACGGAGTTCCAGACCAACTTGGTGCCTTACCCTCGTATCCACTTCCCTCTGGCCACCTACGCTCCGGTCATCTCTGCAGAGAAAGCCTACCATGAGCAGCTGTCTGTTGCTGACATCACCAACGCCTGCTTTGAGCCGGCCAACCAGATGGTGAAGTGTGATCCCCGTCACGGTAAATACATGGCCTGCTGTCTGCTCTATCGTGGAGATGTGGTGCCCAAAGATGTCAACACCGCCATCGCCGCCATCAAGACCAAACGCACCATCCAGTTCGTGGACTGGTGTCCCACAGGCTTCAAGGTGGGCATCAACTATCAGCCTCCAACGGTGGTTCCAGGAGGAGACCTGGCCAAGGTGCAGAGGGCCGTGTGCATGCTGAGCAACACCACAGCCATCGCTGAGGCCTGGGCCCGTCTCGACCACAAGTTTGACCTCATGTACGCCAAGAGGGCCTTTGTGCACTGGTATGTTGGGGAGGGCATGGAGGAGGGAGAGTTCTCAGAGGCCAGAGAAGATATGGCTGCCCTGGAGAAGGATTATGAAGAGGTTGGCACTGACAGCATGGGAGAGGAGGATGAAGAGGGAGAGGAATACTGAAGGGCTGAACATCACCTGGGCTTTATCATCACATATTCCAAAAGTTATCATGAATGCGACACATTCCCAACAACACTGTGATGTCTGCTTTGGTCAGCGATCAATATCAGTATTATCAATAAAATGTTTTCATAAACGTATTGAATGATTAATTGTGATCTTTTATGAACATATTGGTTGTCTTCAAGCAAATATTTTGTTCTAGACTACAACAACACTGCTAGTCTACATATAAGCATCTTATGCTGCATCATCTAAAGTGATGTATTTTGTATTTTTAAATGTTATGGCTGCTTCAGATTAGACCTACTTTCATATCTACTAACAAGGCCTTTTCCAGCATTGTTATGCTTGATTTCAGAATGTGTATTTAAGCCCTGCTCACACTCATTTACAAAGGACATTCTACATTCTCAATGTTTGCTGACGTCCTGCCTCTGTGGGTGAGCCGGCCGTCTACCTGCAGTTACTTCTTTCCACCACTAGATGGGAGCAACATGACCAGCTGGTGAAGTTGCGTAAGTTGTTTAGTCGTTTAAACCTCCCCGGTCCTTTAATTTCATGTGTTAAGCGTCTCTGTTCTCCTCAATGTGAGTAGTGTAATTTCACTAAACAATGCGTTTATGAAGGGATCATATGTATTCCATATATTAAGAACAGATCTAATAATAATACAATCCAGACTGTTATAATACAAATTAGTAGTAGGATAGCCTGTGAAAATTAAAATGATATAAATATCATTTTATTGGATAACAACTACTAATAATACGTAAGAAGCACTTTAATATTTAATATTGTGTCCTTCAACGTATTAGAATTAATCATATTCTATAAACCAGCCAAACAAAGTGTAGTGCATGTACAAAGGGGATACACGAGTAACAAGTAAACATAAATATCTGGCACAGACACTGGGACTAAATTCACCATGACAAGAAATGATCGAGACAACCGATCGCGTGATCAACTATTCGTCCGGCTGAAAGGTTGATCCACAGTGAGGATCCGGTTACCCACATGGTGGAGCCACGCCAGCACGTACGGGAGCAACCGGCACCGGTTGCGCGCGCGGGGCGGGGCGGGCCCGGCGACGCTCCCAAACTCTCGCACGTTCCAGACGCGCGGTGCCCGTCTCTCAGCTGATAAGTGACGTAGACCGTCCGTCCCCCCCTCCCCCCACGTTTTAAAGCGTTTCCCTGCGGTGGAGCCCGTGCAGGAGACGCGGCGCAGGCACAAGCGGCACGCCGCAGTTTTCGAGGCTGCGCATGTGTTGTCACGGCGCAGAAAAAGGGGCTGCGAAGCGGCGGAGCGACTGCGGAGCTGCCCGTTAATCCCCCCCCGAGCGACCGAGACGGTAAGTACCGCCGAGCCTCGGCTAATGGCCGCTCGTGAGCGGCGCGCTGTACCCGCTGGCAGTGCACGGTGACCGTTGTGCGGGTTTATTCCTCCAACTTGACCATACTAGGAAATATAGTGTCAAACGAAAAAAACAAAAGTATCCTTATAATGTGAATGTTGGCCTGTGGCGTTCATTCTAACATGCGCAGTCCGCGGCTTACAGCGCATCGGCATCGGCCCCCTGCGTGTTGGTGAAGTTTGCGCAGGGCCTCCTGGCACGTCAGCGCCAGTTGTCAGATGCCATGACGCTAGAAATAACATAGTAATAATACTCGAGTGAGCGCATGGCCGTTTCCCGAGAGGCGTAGAGAGTTATGTTTAGTTGTTTCATCTCAGTCTGGAAGTCCCCCTTCGGTCCACTACTGAGATCCGCCCGTCAGGTTCACACTCCTGCGGCTATAATGAGTGTAATAAGGAACCGCTGACCGGTCTGAGGTGTGTGATCACTTCCAAGTGTTCCGAAATCAAAGTGTTCCTTTGAGTCTCTTCATGTCAGCGGAGACACGTGAGCATGACATCATTGGTTGATTATTATTTCTTACTAACACACTAATTATGATCGCACGTGTGGTCAGTCAATTGATCATTACGCATTGCTTGTGTGATGCACAATGACTCATTCCTTAAACCAATGAACAGCAGCTTTACAAAGTGTGCACATGTCTGTTGAACTTTATATGTTTGACTTCAAAATGTATTTGGGATTCATTTCGTTTGACTATAAAAAACAGAAGAAACCAATATTGCATTTAGAGATCCACAAATGAACAAACAGACGTCCATAAACAACATCTTCGAATAGTAGAAGGTGTCGTAACAGACGAAGCAAAACTAACAAAAAACGAAAGAAGATTTTGACCAAATTGGCAAAATAAGTGAAAACACTTGAGTGGACGCTCTATTTAAGAAAATGGGAATTACACGTTTCCATGATCTGTATTTGAGAATGACAAACTATGGGTTTACATTATGCCTTGCCTTCTTAAACCGTTGCCTGAATACAAATACAAAACAAGCTGTTTCTTTTGCTTTTGGGGAATTTTTGGAAATACCTTAGACGTACAAACTTGTAATTGTTGCAGATGGGAATCTGATAAATGCAAAAATGCGCGTGTCTAATCAAAGTCAAGTATATTCTGCATTCAAAAGAAAGCTATTTTTCTGTCAGGGGCGGAGCGGTGAGGACTGACAGGAGGCGACATGGTGGATTACTATAACGTCCTGGGAGTGTCCAAAACAGCCTCCCAGGATGACATCAAGAAAGCGTGAGTATCTGTGAAAAATCGCACTCTTTACACATCGTTTATTAATATACTTGCAAGTAGGAGACAGAGTTGACAACATACACGATGCATCAATGCTTCCCGAAGGGCGTGAAAGGGGCGTGCACAAATGCCTGATAGCACATGCACTAAAAGAGGGGGGATCTCAAAAGACTGTCGTTAATCTTACTGTGAGTGCAGGTCACTTCATTTTGGACTTTGGCGCCGTGAGTCCCTGTGAGATTGGACTTAGACTTAGACAAAACATTGTTTTAAGTTTTTCCAACAGTGTCCAAGGAGTATCTCTCCAGGGTGAGGGCTAACTTTGAATAATTAATGAACATCAACATTTCACTTGATCAGTAAATACGACTTATATATGTTCTTCACTTCAAGCAGTTTCTTAGTTTTATGTGTTGAAATGAAATTCCAAATCATTCCAAACATTCCCATTCTTACTTGTGTCTTATTTCTCGAAGGCTCTTGCTTGTCGCCGTAGAAGAGACCACGGTGCTGGTTATGTCTCTATCCATTCTAGTTATGCTAGTTCTGTATCTATAGTGTGTATGAGTCGATGTTTGTGTTTGGGGTTTTCAGGTACAGGAAACTGGCATTGAAGTGGCATCCGGACAAGAATCCAGACAACAAAGAGGAAGCAGAGAGAAAGTTCAAAGAACTGGCGGAAGCCTATGAAGTCCTATCTGACAGTAAGTCACGGCAGAGTGCGTCTTTATCCAGACACATGCACGTATGTGTATTTGCGTTCTTTGTTCCACCGTCCAATTGCTCTGTTCCTCTCTACAGCGAGTGAGCGCGCTGCATACGACAGATGCGGAAACGACAGAGTGCCACACACAGGTACATAAAACTCGACTCCAGTGAGGTATCGAGATATGATAGTTTGTGTTACCTTTCCTTCCTCTCCCCTCACTCTCTCCACTTGTTTCCTTCATTAATGTTTCCCGCCCCTTCAATTTTATTCACTCCTTTTTCCCTATTCCCCTAATATTGTTTCTTCTTCCTCTACCTTTTCTTTTGCTCTTCACCCACCTGACCCCGTTGGCCCTGCTTCATTTTCCAGGATCCTCCAGCTCAGACTTTCCGTCTGATTTCCCAGGATTCACCTTCACATTCCGCAACCCAGATGAGGTTTTCAAAGAGTTTTTTGGCAGCCAGGATCCTTTCGCTAACTTCTTTGGTAAGTCATACGCATCTATTACGAGCATTTTTATTAATTATTAATGAATATTCCATTCGACAAGTGAAAATTCTACTATTTTAATTTGAATTTCTAATTATCGTGTCTTGATTGTTTTATCAAGACACGATTGTTTTATCAATTGCTCGACTTAAGTCCAACTTCTTAGTGAGTTAGATACTATATAAATAATCATTCGTGTCTGTCTCCTTCTCCCAATCCAGATGACTTTTCGTCTTTTGGAGGCTCGCACTCTCGCCTCGGACCCAGTCGGTTCTTTTCCTTTCCTGCAGCACGAGGTAAACAGTCGCATGCTGAAACAGTCACCTGTGCTGCAGCTGTCGAATTCGACACGGCGTCTCATGTTGTGACCACAATTTCAAAAGCAGCGTCAACTGAACAACTGCATTATGTTATAATGTGGGTCGGTTTTGGCAATTCACACAATACGCGAGTGGGAAGCTTTAGGAGCTAATGGTGAATAGGCCACTGAAATACAAGGGAGCTGAGTTTTTATATTTGACAACATGATTCACAGGTTTCACATTTGCACAAACTGAGATTTTGTAATAATACACGTAGATGAATCCAACTCTTCTCTTCTTTTCTGCTTTCTTCTCCGGATCGTCTGTCCTACATCAGTTGATTTCTCCACCTTCTCCTCATCCTTGGGTGGTCTGGAAGGCATGGACAGCATGGGCGGAGGGATGGGCAACTTTAAATCCGTTTCTACCTCCACTCGCATCATAAACGGCAAACGCACAACCACCAAGAAGTACGTAAGGCCTCCCTGAGAAAAACTATTTGGGAAATATATGTTTTGAATAAATAGATTTAGGACTTATTTCGGCTATGAGCAATGCAGTCAGATAAGAAAGTTAAACAATCATTTTTAAATGTCAGAATTTTTCCGTTCAATTTTAAAAACATGTCCTTCTAAATGCATCATTATTTTATTTGATCTGAATTTGGTATACAGATCTTACAGAATTAGCTTTGGACTTTGAATTAGAGAATATACCACTGTGACAGAACACACACACACACACACACACACACACACAGACAGACACATTGATGTAATTTACCATTCATCCCTGCATTGGCCTTGTTACAGGGTAAAGGAGAATGGGCAGGAGAGAACAGAGATTGAGGAGGATGGGGTATTAAAGAGTGTCCTAATTAATGGTAAGACCATCTACAGATAGTATCATTTTCTATCCCTTCGCCAAAAAAGCGGCGCATGTGCCAATCACCCCCTGTGTCGTTTTGTGCGCTGTTCCCAGGCGTGGAGGACGAAATGGCCCTCGCCCTGGAGCTGAGCCGGCGAGAGGGACGGACGCGCCCCTCCCCTCAGAAGCCGCAAATCCAAAGCATATCGCCCGAAAGACCCCACTCCGGCGCCCACCCTTCCCCCACACACCGGTCACTCAGCTCCGCCCCCTTCTACAGCTGCGGGCTCGCGGGCAGCGTCGAGGATGACGAGGAAGATGAAGACCTGCAGGTGGCTTTGGCATGCAGTCTGTCCGAAATGGAAGCCCAGCGGAGAGCAGGTGCCACCGACTTCATATCAGGTGCCGGGGGTGTGGGCAAAGCCGCGGGTGGCCGTAGAGGAGGAGGGGTTGTTAAGACGACGCGTTTGAATGTGGCTCGTGCTGAGAAGGTGCTTGAAAGCGCGGGAGATGCAGAGGGGCAGTTTAAGATGGACTCGGGGCCCGGAGCCGGGGGGGTAGTGGAGGGAACGGCCACCAGGGAACCAGACGTCTCTCCTGAGTCGTCCTCCACTGCCGACACCACGGCAACCGACCAGAGCAGCGAACAGCAACCTGCTAGGAAGAAAAGTGATGGCGGTGTGAAAAAGAAAAAGATGTGTGGTTGTGTTTTGTGCTAATGCGTTGAGTGTGTGTGTGTGTGTGTGTGTGTGTATTTGCAATGCCTTATCTTTTATACCTAAGTATTCTGTTTTCCGCCTGATAGTCTGTCTCTTGATGTGAGGCGGACCGATCAACTTGCGCGTCAATTCAGTCTTAACACTTCTCAAAGAAAGAGAATGAGTCCACTTTTAATTAGTGCCAAAATTTCCACGTGAATTTGCTAATAATATCAGCTATAAGATCAAATTGATTGTGAACCAATAGCTTTCTGAATGTAAGTGAATTTGCCAAATATTCATGCAGACTGAACACAGCGTCATTCAGAGGAACTTGTGTGTGTGTTTGTGTTTTTTCTGTGTGTGGCTCAGCTGAGGCGCCCCGTTTCTCGTTCAGACTTTGTTGCAAAGGGCCCGCAACAAGAAAAAAAACAGGACGTTTACAGTGCAAACACACCTTGTAAATACGCTCGGTCAGGATCGGCGAACCCGTAGCACAGAGTTCATTTCAGAGTGCATTAGTCAGGGTGGAATGTATCCTTTGTCTACCTTTCTCGGCCTTTATACCCTCACTAAAATACCATGACCATGTTTGGGGAGCGGCAGCACTTTATGAGGTTGTAGCACAATGTACAATATCTACCGCATCATGACTGTAAACCACAGCTACTATGAATCATTATATAATATCGTTCAGAATTTGATCCTTTTGGTGCCTTTGCATGCTTTAAGCTACTTTACTGTTTTTTATTTGCTTGAATTACCCTTGAAAATGTGCCACAGTAGAGAAATAACTAATGTGTTTCCAGCAGAGCAGATGTCAAAGCTATACATCAACATACTAGTTTTTGTACTATCTAAACTGCCATGTGTGTTTTTTAATTTTTCCTTCAAATTTCTAAAAGAGTAGTAAGTAATAAAGATTGAGCTGAAGAGGATAATTGGGATTTTTGTTTTTTGATTTCAGAATATGGCAGTAATTGCTTTGCATTTCCTACACTTTTTCTACACATTTCCATCACTAATGTCCTGCTACACCAGAACTTCCATTATCACGAAACTAACGGCAGTACTTGAAACAGACTGTCTATCATTCGGAATGCTTCTTCCTGGACCAGCCATTCAAATGTGAAGAAAATGAGCGTATGTAGTTTAACTTTAAAAGAAACGCCAACAGAACTTGAACATTTTATTTAAATTTGATTTCACTCGGTTTGTTGTTCAATGTGCCCTTATTCTCTTACCCCACTGACCCTCAACTCTCCCTCACCAGCTGTATGTTTCTCATCATTCTGCTTTCATGGCGCTCATTTTCATTGCAACTATCAGCTTGATAAGAAAGAAGACATTGTTCATTTATAACCCCAAATCTATTTTTTCTTGTCACCAAAAACATGTAGACCTCCACCACACTATCTACATGGACAGGATATTATGTCACCTTTAGATATATTATAGTACATACCAATTTTCTGCTTTGCTTCTGCATTTTCATTTTGTTCGTGCTGATATCACCCTCTAATATCTATCTTACATTGTCACGTCATGGAGCTCTTGCTGTCTGTAAAACAAAAGATCACATCGTGACATCAAAAGAAACATCTTTTTAAATGCTTAATTCTGACTGACGGACCTAGTTGTACCTGATGATTTGGACTTCCTGTAGGAGGTTTGGTTTGTCTCACACTCCCTGCTTCCATGTTTCAGACTCAGACTTCGAGGCCTTCACGAGCTAACCTGATTGGCTCATGCCGTGCTGTGGCCTAGCCGCGCCCTGAGGTAATGAACCGTGTGAACGTGAAGCTCCCCTAAGTCGCCCCATGAGCCCCATGTCGATAATGATCCTTCCAAGGAGTCATGTTTATACAACAGTTGATGCCTACAGTACTTGCATTACGGATGAATTGTAACATGTCCTTGTACGTCTATTCCTACAGGTCAAAGGTCAATTCCACATGACGCACATGTCTGTCTCTGCCCACCATGGCTACTACCTGCTGAACGACTCTTAATGACATGACGCATAAGATGCATACGCGTGTTGTTTTATTTATACTGTGTGTGTACATAGGTCATTGTAGAGCAAACCGACTGGAAAGACTGAGGGAATAGTTCTAGTCATCTCTGCATCAACTAACACTTTTTTCAGCTTAATTTTAGTTTGAATTATGCCTGCAAGTGGAAACTGGTGAAAGAAAAGAGAAAAAAATGTTACTAGATATATAAAGCAGAGGTAATAAAGCATCTCCTGCTGACCAGTCTGTGGTAGTTTATCGCTGTAACCAGAAGTGTCAGGTTGAGCGACGCAGAATTTAAGCTAACAATGCCACAAATTTCATTTGAGGTTGAAAAAGTCTACTAATTGACATATTGTGATACAAATGTTTTTGGCAATTTCACCCTTGTGCTGTGGGGGGCATTGTCTATAAAAGCCAGAAATTCCAACAAATGATTGCACTTTTGATGCACTATTTATACATTTTGAAAAATACATTAAAATAGCTTCAAATACTGAAACAAAAAACATACCGATGGTTCTTAAAATGAGCTTGAGGCATGTTTTTTAGTTTTCTTTTGCTGCATCACGTCACAAATTTATTCCGATCAAGTCAAAAATACATTTCTATAGATATTTTACAGATATTATCTGTCTGCTACACGAAATAAACACAACCAGGAGGAATTATTTACATTAATCACAAAGCCGTACACCGAGTCAGACAACAAGCAGGTATTTTGTCTGCAGAAAGAGAGAGAGAGGCGTACAGCATCCGTTACAAAAGGACCAGTGCTTAGCGCAAACTATCATGTTGTCACGGCAGACGAGACAAGCCTCACAGATGAAACCCTGCTGGAAATCAACACACACGAGACAATAGCATACAGTTACAACACACTCAGAGTTCCAACGAATTTAAACCCTATTGTGTATCAGCTGAAGGGAGGTCTTACAAATTTTGACACCATTTTTAACAATAAACCACGTAAGCTGTAATGTTCAACGGCCAAAGGACCCCCTCGGTGTTGGCGGAAAATCATCTGTTGACCTTTGAGGTGATGTCATCATGTCCGGTAGAAAGGGAAATGAAGCAAAGATGGAATCAAATGGAAGTCCATCGGTAAACATTAACAGAAGTGCAATCTACCCTGTCAGACTCGGGAGGTAAAGGGCAAAGTATATCACCCTGTGGCCTCCTTGTTGTGTCTAATTAGGTAGAAAAAAAGATGACATGTGTACCATATGGGCAAAACCTCTGTCCATATTTACCTTCCGCCAAAAATAATTTGATTTAAGTTCCAAAAAGTTTTAGAGACCCAGAGATTGAACAGATGGTAAAATACTGCATGCTGAACACGAGAGCAGTAACGGCAAATTCTTATTTACAGTGATGGCCTGACATACATGAAGTGTTTTCCTTTCCAAGTCCTTCTGTGCTCCCCGTGGATGTCCTCAGCTCACTGTGGCAAGGCCTTCAAGATGGCATTCACCTCCTCGGCTACTGCTGTCAGCGCAAACTCAAACTGGTCCTGGGCGGGACGACAAGCGGGGGAACAGAAACAGGAAGGTGTGAGAGGGAAGGTTAGAGATGGCACAGAGGGAGGCAACTGGACAATGATGGATGGACGGCCACTTTAAAAGGGCTGCACACACACACACACACACACACACACACACAAAGACAGATGTGTGGTACCTTGGTGCGCACTAAGCCCGGCCTCTGGTCTCTGATGTGCTCCAGTGAGGCTGCAATGTCAATCTCCTTCACTCCTAACAACAGGGACAGTGAAATCATCGCTAGCACAGTTTATGAGGCTTTGGTGCAACAAAAGAATCCTTCGCTCAAAATAATCCCAACAATTTAGAGAACAATTGCAATCCAATGTTGATGTTGGCTTGATACTAAAGTACACCTTCAGAAGGACCTGCAGCTATTTGGTTAGGAAAAAGAAACTTTGGTTTGAACAACACATCTAGCCTACTTGGGCTATTACGCCCTATTTTATGCAACATTCGTACCGTAATGCGGAATAATAGTTTAAATTTGACACAAGCAGGGTGATCTGACTTCATTGGGACTCTAGCCCCTCCCGCTGTCCAAAAAAGGTAACACATCAGTGTGCGTTGCTATTAGCAGATCTCGGCATAACCACCGAATGTTGACCGTGTTATCTTTCCAAAATATTTCACTATTGAATAATATCCTAAATAAGTGTGTGTTGGTGTGAGATAACTCACCCTTGGCCATGCGGTTCAACACCATGTCAATGAGGATGTACGCGCCAGTCCGGCTAGTGCCATCACTGTCAGGGTGACAGGTATGAAGGGAAATGATCAATGCAATTCTCCTTTCATTCACCCGAATCGGCTTTCCAAACACATACAGGTTGCATTAAGATTGAACCAATCGTCCTCTTTCACGGAAATCATTCTTTTTTTTGTTTTCTGTTTTTTTTACCCGCAGTGAACGATGATTGGGCAGGAACGACCTCTGTAGCATTTATTCACCTTCCTGAAAAATAGCAACAACAGACAGCAGAGAAGGAAAGGAGAAACAAAGAAAGGCTTCATTATCATCCAGTCACTACAAACCTTGTAACCACAACTAACCGTGATCGCATGTTCAATGAATAACTTCCTGCGACCCGTGACCAAGACATAAGTAGATGCTTAAGCAGAAGGATCAGGAAAGAGGAAAAAAGGACAGCAACAAGCGCACAGTGTGATTGTGAGACGATGGAACAGGAGAGAGAAGGTGAAGAGGAAGCCACAGATTCACTGTCCCTCTTGCAGTAGCCAGTCACACCTGCCAATGCTCATTTTTGTGACTATGCAACTGGAGCCAGAGTACTAGCTGCAAACCACAAAAATGACACTGGGAGATGTTAAAATACAAACCCATCTGCCTGCACACCGGGAGAGCGGGAGAGAGAGAGAGAGAGAGAGAGGGAGAGAGACAGCTCATGGAGAGGGTGAGGAATGTAGAATAACGAAACAAAAAGCTGGATGTGATGAAGGCCATCGGGAGGAGTTTGAACCCCACCAACGTGTCAGGGCACCGGTTGGTGACACAACATCACACACACACACAGACACACACACTGCATTCGGACCATTTCTGTTCCCACCGTGTTGAAATGGGGGGGACTCGCGTCGGCACAGTTAGCAGGTGCACGTTTGCGTCCTCACCTGCGGAAATCCAGCAGCGGCCTGGTGGAGGTGGGCGTGCCCTCAGACGGCCAGCTCAGCAGGTGGAACTGCGTCAGGGTCCTGGTCTCCTGCGTCTGGACGTTCTTCAGGTAGAAGCTGCGCACCAGGAAGTCTTTACACCAGATGTGCTCCGACACGAGGTTCACCTGGTCAACGGCAAGAGACACGCGGGGGGAAGAAAGGGCAGAAACAAGAGATAAATGAACAAGACGTTCAATAAAATGATAAAATGACGGGTGCAAGCGTTTGAACACACACGATCTTTTTGTGTGTTGAAAATAAAGTAAATTCTTCGTCTTGCTTTTATTGTTACTACCTCAACACGTATTACCATTACAGGGACGGGAAAGAGACCATTTTGATTTTTTTTCAAAATTGGGATTTAAAATAGATTCATGCTTTTTTTATTCTCTATTAAATTGTAGGGATCTGACTTCATTCCCCAAACGCAGATAATTCTCAAATTAATCTTAAACCTTCCTTTTGAACAAAACTACTACAAGCACAGGTCCAACACCTGTTACTGTGGACGTTTGTCACTATTAAAGCACTATAAGAAAGACGCTGCGCTGAAGGGGAAATGTTGTGGAAGTGAACCTCATAGATGTGGTAGAGTGATGAGCCCTCGTCGGGCCAGTACCGCTCGCACTGTTTCTCTCCATCTTCCACCAGAGCTGTCATCATCACTATCACCGTGCAGCCGTTCTCCCACACCATCTGCGGGTTGGAGAGAACAAGCACACACACACACACACACATCCAATTGTCACATTTAAATAAAACCCTGAGTAACAAAGGCAGCTTTCCTGCAGGTGGAACGAGTGGTCCAACGACCCGCATCGATTTAAATTGTCACTTATCAGCAAGCGAATCCTCTCCGGTGCAAAGACGGCACTGACCTGCCAGAAATCAGCGACGGTGTGAGCCAACGGTCCCTGTGTGGCGATATAAGCTGGCTGGCGAGGGTCGTGATCAAACTGTGGGTTACAGGTGAGAAAAGAAAGAGAGGTGAGGATTCTCACGTTGAGTACGTGTTTATAAATGCATGAGAGAGAGGCTTTAAGATTTAAGGCCTTTCTTTGACCTCTTGGGCGTGAATACAATTTGACATTTTACACTCAGAAGAAGAATTCTAATGGAGAGACATCACAGGCTTTGGGCTTGTAGATCGAAGAAAAAAAAGCAAACCGGATGCATTTTCCAGTCCTGAGATTTTCTTTGTCCGGTAACAAAAGATGAATATCTGGCTCAACTCATATAGGCCTACATTCAAATTAGCAATGCAGTATAAATGATGAACTTCAAATACATATTCCAACACATCCAGTTCATTAATAGTGCATCAGACATGATGATGATCAGAGCGCCTGTATTTAGATCCTCATATTACATGAGGGGATAAATCACCAAGCAAACAAACTGAAAATGACATTAAATGGTCACATAAGGACAAAGTCTGGGATCGTATAAAGCATTCTTACAATGATGCTGGCGTTGATGTAATCTTGTTTACTGTGATTGACGTCACTTTTCAGCTTCACCCGGGTGTGATCGTCTGCAGAAGAAAAGCAGCTGTCAAGAATGTGTCACGGCACGACTGACGAGTAAATATGACACACAGAGAGAGGAGAATCCAGCGACACGCTAGTGAACTAACAGGGGAGAGATTCAGCACGTCTGTTTTTGTCCATGTTGTTCGGAAGCTGCGCCACGGCCACCGAACTGGGTTCGGCCTGGTAGGAGCACAGAGCCTCCCACTCCCTCTGAAGGCGGTCCTTGTTACGCAGGTGATCCTCCATGTAAGCCTGATGGAGAGATGACACGCGAGATAACGTGATTTTTCTCAGCCGGCCGTTACTCCGCTACAGCTGCTCACTCCGCTACAGCGCTCACCAGTATCATGTGACCGGTGGAGATGTCCATGTTGGACTGGGCCGGCTCTTCGCTCCATGATGGGGTGGAGCTGTGGGTGGAGGACGGGCTGTGCTGGGGGCCGTCGCTGAACTGGGAGGAGACGCTGCTGACACGGGACGTGTCCGTACCCCTTCGACCGCCGGCGCCTGTGGGTATGGCGGACCCCGCCATGCTGCTGCTCACCGCACCCACACAGTCCTGACGGGACAGCGGCGATTTAGATGCCATGTGCTGCCGACACAGCTCCTGAGAGGAGAGTAAGGGAAAGATTTTTATCATTAATACATTACATACATAATTAATTATTGATACTAAATAATCAGGTAAAATAATAAATGATGAATGCATTTCAATGTAACTTATTGTGTTAAGTTGTCTTAATTCCCACATGCATTGGATCTATAAGCATACATTAGTTGGTTTCTTATTTTTTCCCAATGCGTTATACTCCGAAGACGATTACACAAAGGTGAAAGCAAACGAAGAGACAAAACCTGGTAGTCAAAGTGTGTTTCTGCTCCTCCTTCTGGCCCCAGTCCGAGCTTGCCATTGGCCACTTGCTGAGCGTGGTGCCTGAAACAGGCTACAGCCATGGCCAATACCAACACGCCTCCTACGACCGCCATGGACACGAGGGTGATGACGGTGCCACTGGAGCCCTGCGAAACCCTGGTTACCTGGGGGAGACCCCGTGCATCTGTCCTCTGGGAAAAAATACATTGTAAAGAGTAAATAAGAAGTGGGAACGTAACACAAAACTGAAACATATTAGTACCAAAGCAAAGTGCTATTCCCACTTGTTGACGTGCAACGCTGGCCTTTTGAGAGTTAAGCTAAGGGAGCTCTGGGACTATCCGCTGCAATCCAAAGGTCACTCATCTCATTCTAGCAACACGTTCGTTTCTAGGTAACTGTACATGTCAGCAAGGTGGACTCGGGGAGAGGTTGTTGGAGGTTGTTGACTTTTGAAGACAGAGGTCTGAGGAATAATGATCCAGGATGAACCAGGAACACGTTAAAAAGACAGCACTGCCTCATTCCACCCCTTCTTCATCTTCCTTTCTATCATAGAATATCGTCTTTGCTCTGCTGCCCAATACAGCAGAATTAATTCATTTCAAACATTCATTTAAGTGTTAGTGAAATTCTTTTTTCAAATCAGGCTTTCATTTGGACTGAATTAATTGGGGGAAAAACAATGTAGCTTTTAAATGAATTGACACACATGTTCTATTAATGTATTGCCAGGACAATTACAATGTTATCTGCAGACCTGACTTCAATCTGCGTGTATGTTTGTGTGTGTGTGTGTTCTCCTAATAAGCAGTCTCAATGTGCATTTTGTTGTTAATTCATTTTACATGAAGTTTAAATTGCAGGCAATGATTCACAGGCCTGGAATAAGGCCCGCAGTGTGTTTTAGTGTGCGACTAATGAGGTTAATGACTCCTGTGACGGTTGCCATAGCACCTGGGATCTGGGAGCCACAGTAGGGGCAAAGGGGGGAGAGAAGAAGCACCATGGCAACAAGTGGAACGATGGTTTTCGCTGTTATGAGGTGCAGACTAGCTGATTCGTTCTGGCCACTTGCACTCCAGGGGGTAAACACTCAAGGCTTTACGCACACAGAGAAACACCCACACACAGTGTCGCAGCACAGCGAGCGTAGTGGCGGATGGAAAACAAGCACTGTAACTGAGACCGATGTGCTGCCCCCGTCTGTGCTGCGCTAAAGCGCAGTGCTAGTGCCCACAAAAGTAGTATTTCTAACGATATGTGAGCTAATTTTATTCTTTTTAAGATATGCTTACAGCGCAATACCAAAAATGTAATGTAACTACAAAACACAGCGACAAAACAAAATAACATTTAGCTGGTAGTCTGTCGGGGGGCTAATTCCCCATTAGCAAGTCGCATCATCGGTCAAGCTGACATCCATACATGAATAGATGGCAAATGGCAGGCAATGCAGATCAGTGATTAGATCTCCGTTGCCTTGGCAACTGCTCCACGTGTTACTGATTGGAGGGGTCGCACAGGATGTTTTCCCCAGAGACTAAGCAGGTTTTGTCTGTGGGTGTGTTCCAAGTACCTCTCCCACACCAGTCTGCACAATCTTCAAGCCTGTCTCAGACTCCAGGAAGTTCTTTTCCGCTACTGTTTGGGTGAGAAAAGAAGAAGAAGAAGGAGAAGAAGAAGAAGAAGAAGAAGAAGAAGAAGAAGAAGAAGAAGAAGAAGAAGAAGACATTTCTTGAGAAAGAATACTGGCGTGTTGGTATTTGAGAATGTGCTGTGAGATTTTCGCGTTAGGGCACGTTTTGTGCGTTTGAGCCTCACAGGCTTTAGCGGCCACCTCTGCGGCCGTCATGTTGTGATCGTTCTGGCGGATCCGGAACGTCAGCGCAGGGCCCACCACACTGGCAACACAAAAAGCACACACGTGGAATGCTTCAGAACTGAGTAGAAAGGCCGACTCTCCAGCACACGACCACACACATGACGGTGGTGCGTTACCTTATGTTGATGAAGCTGCTGGTTGTCAGGTGAATCTTATCAGCCAGTAGCTCCAACAGCTTCACTCCATCGTACAAGCTCAGGGGACTACAAACAAAAAACATTATTATCCAATCATGTTTCGTAAATGTCTCACTTGCTGCTCTTTACTGGCAATTATTATGACAATTAGTGATTTTACATATCCACTTCTTCACAGCCTTTGGCATGAGGACATTTATTCTACTCATTTATTTGCAATAAACAGAAAGTTGACTTTGAATGCGCGCTGACCTCCGGTTGGTGACTATGTACCCATACTCCTCCTTGGCTCCTGTACCCTCAACCAGTTTTGGCCCCTGCTCCTTCGAGCCTTGACCGGCTTCTGCAGGCGCGGCCTGCGGAGGCTGGGAGGCGGAAGGGAGGAGTCCGGCACTCTCGACTGGAGATGTAGCTGGGACTGAGGAGAAGGTGGGGGCATGAGGGGCCACGGGAGGACCAGGAGCAGGGGTGGGCTTCCCCGGCTTTTGGGACAAACTCTTTGTTTTCAATAGCTGCATCTAAGGGGAATTAATAGACGACCTATCAGTGAAAATAAAGGTGAACGGTTGCTTCTTGTGAACACTGCTGACCAGGAATGCTGAACCTACCTCGTTGAGGGAGATGAGGTCTTTCTCAATTGGATCTGTGTTAAGAAAGATAAATAACTGTTTTTAAATTGTACAGTAAATCAAAAATGACACACAAATGATTTCCACCATCTCACCAACAGACTTCACTGTTACGGATTGGTTGTAGCATGAAAAGTGAAGGTAACACTGCAGTAGTCGGTTTCTAATTTTTTAAATGATTGAAAGACTACCTGTTTTCTCTTGGGTTGGCATCAGCTGCAGAATGAGGGCCAGCTTGTAGAGCTGCTCTTGACTCAGCTCTCTGGGGTCAACTCCGTACTTCTTCAGGACTCCTGACATCCTCTGGAGAAGGCCATCTAACACAGGATGGCAAAGTCAGCGTTATCTTTCCGCTTTCCAATTGTTCTTTGTTTTTTTTAAGATTTTCATGGACACGGTGTAAGTACTCTCCTGCTTAATCTGCTAAAAAAGATGAAGAGTTGTTTTCTCACCGTTGTTTCCAGACACAGTGCTGATACGCGGAGGAACTTTTTTATTCTGCTGTGTTTGCTGTCTGCCTGCAGTACCGAGTCTCTCCTCCAGGGTGTAGTCTTCCACGTAGTCCACTGGTATCGCCAGCTCCAGGTCTTCATAGTAAGGAAGTCCTGTTCATTTCATCATAGTTCATGATGGTAAAGAGAATTGATTGCTTATGTTGTTGTTGTTGTTGTTTAAGAATTATCTTCCAAAAAGCTTTCACAGTATTTTCTTTTGTTTACACAAACATTGAGTGTAATATTTAACGAAGCAGCTTTAATCCTGTGTCGTCTTTTGGAAAACAGAACGTGCTGCTCACCTGCACGAGACATGGGGGAGCCCCCCCGTTGGCGATAGGCAGGCTGTGCAGACGCCAGGTACTGAGACAAGGCTTCCTGTAGCAGCTGTCTGTCACGCTCTTGATCTCTTTGATTGGCCTGGGACCTTGATGAAGGGCGGACATAACCAGCTCCGGCTCCAATGAGTGACCTCTCTATGTCATCTTGATATCTATGCTGGAATCCAGAGAAGTACGCGGATTGAGCATTGTGCCCAGAATTTAGATTTAGATTGTTTCCTAATATCTTTATTTATTTTTCTTTTCTTTAACAATACTTTAATCATTTTCAATGCAGGTTTACAATGTATTTATCACCGTTGTGAAGTTTTAGTCTGTTATGAAATATTGTTAGCTTTGATTAGTTATGGATTTCATGCACACACACTCGTGGTGTACCTGGTGGTATGTGTATGGGTCCATTGAGGCTGTCTGCATGCGGAGTGAGGACTGAGGAGGCTCGACTATCATATAGTCCAGATAGTTGCCACCAGGAGGTGCGGATCCCGATTTAGAACCATGTTGGTGGGGGATGTTCTGTTTGGATCTGGTGACACAGAGACAATCAAAGAGGTTACTGAGATAAATATACAGGGCTTGGGGGAGGTAGGGAGGAAAGTCCAGGTCCAGCGGTAAACAAATGGTGACTACAAGGGTGAAATAAATGATTGTCTCTGTCCTTTGACTCATTTTCATTGTGTGACGTGTGCAATCCTCACTGTGGATCCCTGTAGCTGGAGGGCACTGACTGAGACGAGTGAGAAGACGAGGAAGAAGGGTTCGGCCTGGAGGGGTGGGTCGTATGGGGGACTCTTTTCAGCTCCTTCGATAAAATATATTGGGTGATGTCATTTTGCCAGGAAAGACCTGTGCGCGCGCACACACACACACACACACACACACACACACACACGTAGAGCAATTAAAGCAGTTGACAGAGCAAGGTGTGTGTGAAAGCAAAGGAGATTTGCTGAAATCAATATTTTTTCTAATGGATGTATTTTGAAGTTCTTGTATAATTAATGGATGTCTGCCTGTATATTATACTGTACTACGTTAGTACTTGCGTGTTAAAACGCTAAACTAAGATGGACACACCGTCAGCATGTTAGCATGAGCTGACATTAGCATTTAGCTCAAGGCACATCTGTGGAAGGTATAATGGTCCAGGTCTGATAATGCAATAGAAAATAGAATGTAATTCTCAGGTGAAAGTTTGACCCCCAAAAGAAATCACATCTCACCTCCTAGCATGAGCTGTTTGAGGACTTCCTGCATCCTTTTCAGAACAGGAACTGTGACCTGGTACTGGACCAGGTCCTGCTTAGAGGTACGACACTGACCAAACAGCCCATCTGAAATGAACACAAACACAATGTAAGAATTTGAACTCTTATTTTGACAATATCCTCTTTAAAATTTCACGTTAAATTGATTTCCACCCCGAAATTGGTGATTCTTCGATAGCGGAAGTAAAACAAGCTTTTCCAATTCTGACAAATCAAAATGGCTGCCGTGAAGGAGGCTTACAGGAAAGTGAGCAAATGTAACAATGCCCTGCAGTCAATGACGCTTGTATTTTCATTGAGATTTAGCTTTAACTGCACATGTTTTCCCCCACAAATATGTCAGTGATGTCGTTCTTGAAGTACAGTGCAGTAATTTGTATGTGCAGAATTCATATGTAGCCCACAGCAGTGAGTCATAGTTTAGAAGTTCAGCCCACACACTTACAACCTTCGTCACTGCTTTTGACGAGGTTCTGTCAGAAAGTGTGCTTTCTAAAAATATTAGGTAACCTGCAGGAATCCTCATGGCAACAACAAGAAAAGTGTTATTTGCTGCAAACAGTTTTCATAACCCGAATGAATGGAATGAATCAACGTTTTAATCATTAGAAGTACATGAAGACACAAACATGAATAAATCAACCCGTATAATTTCAAGCTTCAACTCATCAACTCAAGCTTCAAATGTCACACCTTTCGAAATATGTAATATATATATATATATATATATATGTTCGAAATGTCGATATTTTCAGACATAAGCCTCAATGAAACGTAGCACCAAACAGGAATGCAAGCGGTTCATACTGGACAATGTCTGACCCACTTTAGGGAGGTTTTCTGGAGGTTAAACAATAATGTTGGATAATGAGAATCTGAAATTCCTACTTAATATAAGGATGCCATTACCCACGTTCCATCGGGACTCTGAAGTCTATATGAGTGCAAGTGAAGATATTCATGTAGGAAAAAAGACTCTGAGTGTGATGTGATGGGAATGAAGACAAAGCGGAGCAGACTACGTATTATGTGGCGCATTGATGAGTCACCACACCTCACTGGCCAAATCTCACTAGAGCCGACCTGCCCCGGTGAGACGTCAGCCTAAAACAAGCGAGTACGCATTCACATGTTCCTTTAGACACGACACTGTTTAGGGAACAGTACGGCTTATTTTTTCACTACCCGATGCGTGAAGAGCGAGTCGACTGATTTACTGTATTTCCAAGTTGTCTCTCTGCAAAGAGACAGAATATTAAAACTAATTCGTGCCTCCTTCCCCGACAAAACTCGATGATGACGTGATGTCCCACAGGATGTTGCATCCTGGCAGGGAAACGCACTGTTGGAAGGTAAAGAACCACAGCAGCTCTCATCCCCTGGTTGTGAACGGACTGATGACAGAGGGAAGAGGAACAGCAAACTGCGGGGCGCGACTGGGTTGGGACTATTTCTGGAGATATGCCTCTTGTGCAGGGCGCATACTGCAGTATTCAGTGTTGGGCAGTCGATGTATGTTACATCGAAGAAATGGTTTGTCTCAAATGTATTATTTAAAATAAGGGCTCCAAGTAATTATTCAAATCATTATTTGTTGTTTTTTTATCTTAATTTTGTGTTTTAGATGATCCACCAAACCTTGGAGGCTGCCCAGAAGGGTGTTTCACATCAACCTGTACTGTATCATCCACTTAATCAACACCTCAAGAAGCTGCTTCTAGACGAGGTCAAGGTGCCACATCTGTGCACAGCGCCACTCCGGTGACCTCACGCCTTTTAGCGCTGGCCTCACACTCTATCCGACTCCACGGGCTTACAGGGGAGAAGCCTGAAACGACATCATCGTGACCTTGGTCCATGTTTAAATGACCCTAAGTGGCACCACTGATGACAAACACCTCCATCGCTCAATGTCTTTGAGAATAATGAACAAAGGGGGAAGAGCCCCACGTCTCCAACACTGCACTATTTCTACCAAATGTTTAGAAACTGTGCTGTGACGAGGACACGAATAAACTACTGAAGGTAACGAGAAGATGCTGTGCATTGCAGCTCACCAAGACACGATCCATTCTCCCCACGCCGAGAGGCAGGCAGCAGCAGGCAAGCAGAAAGAGAGGGACTTTAACTCTAATGGACCTTTTTAGACAAATGATTCCTCAGAGGCCGATTGCTCGATGCACCACCGCCTTTTCAAAGCCTTAGAAGACACAACTAAACAAGGGAGCACCTCTGTCGATATTGTTGAGGGGAAATCAATCAGAATATTACCGATTCAAATGATTTATTAGCTAATTATTTAGCTCAATTAAAGGTCCAAATTAGCTGATCATGTTTTCATTTGTTTGAGCTCTGCTAGAAGGCAAACTTTTTCCTTTTCAGCAGAGGCCTGCTGCTTTGTGCAGGCAATCAGTCTCACTCAACAGAGAGAGCTCATTCACATTGGTACTGATTCAACTCTTCAGCAAACAAGCCTGCAGCAAAAACATTGGAGTAATGAAGCAGTCCAGTGAACACCTGCAATATGACTACAAATAAACACACAACGATCCCCGAGATTTATTCTTCACGTACGTCTATTCTCTGTGTACCGTTTCAAAGCTAGCTCCTGTTTTTTTTTTTTACAATTTAATCAATATTCCATTAGCATTTGAATATTTTATCTTTTCTCTTTAACGCCTTGGACATCAAACATGTCACTCAAAATCCTAAAATCGTTTCTTTACATACAGATCACAGTGATAAATTGTGCAGTGGAATAATTGGTTGTTTCCTATTGATTTCTTTCCTGTTCCTCTCATGCAGTCAAACCCACCGTGAACCATAAACTCAAACCAGCAGCTTCGTACTCCTTATGTGTTGAACCGGGGAGATCATATGTTGACACTGTGATGTTTACACTGTCTGTGATATTACACGCATCCCCTACAAACTCCAAATACAGGTCAATTTGTAGTAATTCTTTGTCTGAAAAACAAATACAAATTGATTGCAGTTAACTTTCAATCGTGGGCTCTCAAAGAGGGATAAATCAGAGCGACTGACAGAGAGACCGATCAGAGTAAGTAGTCGTTATTTTCCTCTCAGTCGAGCATGAATGCAGCCCTGCGTCTGCTCTCCAGCTGCAAGCACACGCTAAAAACTCATTTTGTATTCCGTCCAATGGCTGTTCATGTGCGTAAGTGCAATTTCCACAGAGAAGTGCGTAAGTGTGCGTCAGTGACTCACTGCTGTATTGCCACAACAACTGTGGGGGTGTCAACCTCACGATGATGTCAGTGTTGCCATGGAGACGGGGGAGCCAGGGAGGGGCTTAGATGAAGACGAGGAAAGGCAGAGGGGCAGGTGACGGCGAGAGACGGACACATGGGGCTGAGACAGGAAAAAAATGTACTCACCATCTGAGCAGAACTGATCCCATGAGCACAGCTGTCTCTCAAACAGGCAACCTGAGTCAAAGGACAGAGAGGGACAACAGTTACTGCAGTCCAAATCCTCCTGCCTGACATTAAAGAAACACAACAAAGTGAGCTAAACCCTGGCCTACTCGTTATAACCAGCCTCAAATGGTTACTTAAAACAGACACAAGTCACTTGTATTCAAATTCACCTGACTTATCGTGCACGATACCTTTATATGATCACATGAGGACATTATGTCAGGCTTTGATATACAGGATATAAAATACTAAACTATACTTATAGGACAAGATTATTGTCGGGGAAGACTTATTGTTGAGTGGTTTGTAATTGTAACTGTCACTAGTATTTTTTATTTGCAACTCATTGTTAGCCGCTCCACTTATTTAAGGGTAGGACCTCGTTGCAGTGTGCGTCGGAGAAAGTGGCGGACGACACGGATTGTTTTCTTCTTACGTTCCCTTTTAACCACACACGTCTCTTTTCACCCCTATTTGCCAAAAGAAAAATTCCTTTTTTGCTGTTCTTTGCGTGCTCATAAATAAGTGGTATAAAATCGGTGTTTGCAGAATGAGAGGAAGTCAGAGATAATTACAAATCAAATGCAAGAGATCGCAAGTGGGTATCCGTTTGGCAGAAAGGTGAATTGAATGGATAGAAAAACTTGATTACTATTTCCTTAACATTTAGATGAAGTGACGCACAACCCACACAGCGTTTTCAGTGACTCACTCACTTTTTTTAGGAGAAGCACACACACACTGCATACACGGCGCAAGTGAGTATCTTGCATGTCTTGGATTTTTTACTTTATAATTTTCAACTTTGAGGATATTTTTAATGACAAATGCGACATTTGATTTCTGTAATTCTTAATTTCACCTCCTGGAAGAAAACTTAAAATTTGGTCACTTCTTAAAAAACACTTGTAACTGGTTTGGTAACGTTTTGCAAAACGGCACACCCTTTATTACAAAGACCATGGGCTCTATATGTGGAGGCTTGAGTTAACCTTTATGTGTGCAGCTGAAATAATGAGCTGTCTGAGTAATTTGCACACAGCGGCTGCCAGAGGAACCAACGTAGATAAGACATTCTGCGTAAATATCATTCTCAGCCACCAAATACAGACTGGTTGTCCAGGAAGGGACATCTGGTGCTGTTTGGTCAATAAAGCAGCACTGAGCTAAAACTAACACACAAATAGCAAAAATACTTCCACTGATGGTTTATGATTTATTTTATAGGAATTGAAAACTGGTTTCCATTTTTGGATCTGGTGTTATTTTCTTGTGCACAATGTGATGAATGCCCAATTCAACTTGGACTTTTAATTTTAAAAGCTCTAATTTAAACGTCGTACTGCGTATGTGACCACGGGCAGTCGCACACAGATGGATGGCTGCTGGAGTGGACAGATGGATGGATGCATGTGTGAAAGTAGAGCGAAGCTCAGAGGCGTTAGTGGATGGACAAAGGGAAGCAACAGTTCTTCATGGTTTCTCTCCATGGTGCTGAAATGGAAAACGGCTTCGCGTTGAGCTGCCCATTGTTCTTCATGTGTTTGTTTTCATGCTGTTTTAGTAAAACAATTTTCTCAATGATATCTGAATTTAAATGCCAGGTATATTATGGCTACCTTGCTAACAAACTTGAAAACAAACTGCAATTAATTGTCATTAAGATAATTATATTTGGGTAATTGCATTAAAATAATTCCTAATAATTATAAAATCTTTTGGGAAGCACAACTTGTTGCACGTATCAATAACAAATTATGACAGTTTATCGTGCCAATCTACCAAAATTAAAATGAACTAATTGTATTAATGAAATGGCTCCAGCTGTCATTCTTGTTTCTATTAAGAGTCACTGCCACTGCCCTTTGCAAGGTTGACACTTTTCAGACCTCACTAAGTACACATTTTTTTAAATGTAGGAAACAATTAGCTTGTTTTCATTCTTTCATTTATTTTTAATCAATAGAATATGCAACTTTCGATATATATCATTAAAAATACAAGTGTGACTCGTAGATATAGTAGTTTTGATATTAATGCACTGCGTGTTAATCTATCTTTCCTCCCAAAACGGATTTGGTGGCTTCCCTCTTCTCTTCTCGGACAACAGACAAACAAATATTGCTAATAACAGCATGAGCAGTGACGGTGGCATGAAACATAATTCTCTGAAAGGTTGAAAAATAAAAAAAACACACCACACTGAGGTTTTCTCTTGTTTTTCCTCACTCTCCATCCCTCTTCCGCCTCACTCTAATCTCATTATCAGCCTCTATATTTACCCACATACATCATCTCCATGTGGCAAATCATTTACAGGGCGCTTTGGAAAGCAGGACACATGAATAAAGATGTTCCCAGATCCGGAATATTACAGGGGCATGATGCCACAAGTGAAGTACCCCGATCACCGTACATTAATTATCTACTCATCGTGTACCTGATGGAGCATTTTCCGATAAGGACGCTTCCACCCTCGGCACCATCTCCACCGTCTCCTTACCGTATTTGTCTGAGGTTGCCGGTTGGCACAGCGCGGTGAAAAGCAGCAGAGCTCGCCATGGCTTGAGGTGTTGCATGATCCTCTGGAGCCTCCGTGCAGCGCAGAGGATGTGGAGAGAAAGATGCGTCGGTCCCTCCTTCAAACCCCCATCGCTGTCAGACGAGTCGCAGGTTCCACAGCTTCACATCGCGCCCACGGGGGAAAAAACATATGAACGAACGGCTGAAACTAACTAATTCCACGGTGGCAAGGCAGGGTTGTGAAAGCGATGGGAGGGTGGGCACAGGGGGGAGGGGATGTGCACGCGCAATCTAATATCGATACACCGCTGCTCCACTGCGGAAATAACGCAAGCTTCGACCTGGAGAAGAAACAGCTCTCTGAGATCCAAGGGATCGACCCGCAGCTACGTCATCACGGCCCGGCCAGTGTCATCTTCCACCCGTAACCTAAACAAGACGTCACGAGCTTATTACTCATAACGGCGCGCGCACACACAGCAAGGGGGGGGCGTAGCCTACAGATGAGCACGGGTTGGCCAAATCTCACATGTCTAATTTTGTTGATATTTTATGGATTCATTAAAAAAGCAAAAACTGACACCGTTGATAGCTGTTTTTAGGATTTGGCTCAGATTTGCATCTGATATGAACACAAGTTTTCATTTGGTGATGTAATGAAAACGTGCTACACAATAAAAACACGTTTTTTTATTTCATAAATGAACTTTAACACCATATTAGAAGAATGGCAACAAGATCAGTCCCAACGGGAGCTTACACTTGCATAGTCTCCTCAGCCTCGGTGGTACGTTATGAATATCCTACCTGTGGTGCGATGCTTTGTTAATTATCCTAATTAATCCTTTCTGATTGGAAATGAGTCGGACATTAAGGCCACTTTCACTAATGAAGTGGTGTCACAGGAGTCCATGTTGTCCAGTTGTCCTCTTGCTCCCTCTGGTGTCTTCCAAATAAAAGTAGCTCTCTGTATGTAGCGACACGAGGCGTGATGTATAGGAGAGGGCAGTTTAAATATTATAATGTTGCCAGACAACGCCATCCTGGGAATTTCACCCAGGGAATTGTTTTAAATCTTCAACCAAACAAAACTAAGGGGAGGCACTCAGGTTCGTTGCAAATGAGGCAGAGACGCAATTTACAGTACAAAATGTAATTTTATTAAATTCACGGTTTAAAAACAACGGTAAAAACCTCTTCACTCTGGGACAAGCAACCGGGGAACCAATCAGGGCTGAGACTTACAGTGATGGATTGTCCAAAGAAAAGGAGACCCAAGGAGCACCACACGTGAAACAACTAAAAGTGAAGCAAACTCAAACATGCAAAAACATAACATAAGAGGGACACCACCACCTGGGACACCAATCCACCACCGCAGACTCAGCACCTATGGGTGGGGGAGATGAGGGCAACAGGTTTAAAATAAAATAAACTAAACCAGAAAGAAAATAATTAAATTTAACCAAAGACTATACTAATAAAACACCGACAAACAGCTTAACCAAAGCTTAACGAAATCACAAAATAACAAATTGACAAACAGACAAATAACAAAGTACGGCCTGCCTCTCCCTGGCTCTCGTACACAGTTAAAATATGTCTTGACCCAGTAGGAGGCCCACAGCGAAACATTCAAAAATGAGCAATGTGGGGAGGCCAACGATGACGCAGACCCAAGCAAGGTGGGTTTAGCAAAAGGCGAAGTGAACTTAGCCAAAGGCAAAGCAAAGCAGACCCAAACAGGGTTAATTTAACCAAAGAAAAGAAAAGCAGAACAAAGCAGGGTTAATTTAACCAAGACAAGGCAAAGCAGCAGTGGTCTCTGGCAGGTTAGCGGGTGTACAGCTGATGGTCAATGATCCTTTGCCCTGCAGAGGAAAACAGACATGAAAGCCTTACTATGGCTGGAGGAGGGAGCTAAAGCCACTGCACTACATACCGGTCAGGACGCTTCAGCCAATCAGCGTGGGTCTGAGGGATCGACGCTACCATGACAATTACAAGCGTGGACATTGAGTGCATCAGGTGGAGAATAGTGATTGTGTGGATTCAACACTACTGTCATGGGCAGATCTGTCCTTATATGTAACAGGGGAAGAAGTCTGCATATTACAGCAGCATCCCAGAGATTAATACGACTAAAAAATACAGGTAGTTATGATATAAATGATGAATCTTGTCTGAACATCAACAAAAAATGAAGATCTTTTTTGATTCAAGCAAACTAACTGACTGCTCAATGAAAGAACGGATTCTGGAATCTGGCCCTCATTCCTGCAGTTATGCAATCCTTGGCATATCACAAGCAGCATCCAATGAATGTCTCATCGCTTCAGCTTCAAAGAGGTTAGATGCACAGTACAAGTAAGGTTCCAATTGAAGCCTTTCTCTCCAGCATGAGTCATAAATCATGTTACTTGATTTGACCAATTGTGGACACATTCTCTTGTCTCTTGGCTTTTGATGTAACATCTCTGGTAGACTTCAAATAGATTTGGAACAAGTTCCCCCTGCATGTCTACATGTGTATTCTGGTTTCCATGTTACATGCTCGAATCCAATCACAAATTGAAAACATACGCACACACAAACACACGCGCACACGCGCACTGCCTGTGTCGATCTCTCTGTCTTCCTCACCCACACTTCCATGGGTTCCACCGCGTGTCCCTTCAGTGCGACTGCTCAACTCAACGGTATGTGTGTACGCCTGTTTGGTTGGTTGCTGGGAAACCTGCACACAGTCTATGAAAGATGAAACCAGCAGAACAACCTTCAGACATACTATTTAAATCAAATTAAAACATCAAACCATTTTTACCATTTTTACTATTTATCTCTACAATACTATCACGCATATCGCATCCCGCAGGTGGCAGATGTATTACGCCTGTGAAAGTATTTCAAATAGTTTTTTCAACCTTACACTAATCAAATCATTAAAGAAGTGTCTCTGTGATGTGATTTGTGTAATTGAATCAGAAATATGCCTCTATATCTTTGTGTTTAGCATCCAGGGGTTGAAATAAGGATACTCACAGATTTACCATCATGACATCGACACTGCTTGGCTCGTGACAGACACGGAATTCCAAACATGGTGAATGAGAAATAAAGATGACTGATTATAGAACAAACTGGCACAACTATGTCTCTGCGAAATCTCGAGTATCTTTTAGGACAAGAAATGTAACAACATGGCAGCAGGCAGGTTGAATGCAGTAATACCTAATTGTGAAAATGAGAATAATTTCTCTAAGATATTTTATAGAATCCAGGCAATGCAACCACATAGAGATCTGTAGTGTACAACAAATATCTCTTTATTATTGTGTTGAATTATTCCCAAAAAAGAATAATGGCATGGCACCGTAGGGTTGGGCTGCCATTAACTGTTGATATTCTTAGACATGGTGCATGCGTCTGTCTGTATGTGTTAACGGTTTTCCCGTCATGCCGGACTCTGGAGGCTAAATTTAAGGGTGTCTCGCTTGGCCACAGATCAGGTATCGCTCTTGTGTCGGGGGTTGCTAGGCAACTCGTAACTCATTTTCTGTGTTGAGCGGATGACTTGCCGTTTAAGAGGGAAACTCCGGGATGACAGTTAGGGTAGTATTATAGTACAACACAGTCGAGTCACATCATGTTCATATCAGAGTCATTCGATATCCAATCACGTCAGATCAGATCATCTGCAGAAGCAAAAAGAAGGAGTGAAGTCACGATGAGTCCTGGAATCCCGGTGCCACAAGGGACAGAGAGAACTTCTGATAATGAGCAACATGTTTAAAGATAGTAGCATGAAGCTATTCCAGTTTGCTTTCTAAATGTAGAAATATTCTATTCTGACTTTCAACAGTATTGTTCGTACGACATTTGTTTCTTTTGATACTTGAAATCGGGGTTCGGTTGTCAGCGGTATCTTTGGACACGCCGGTAAAAGCAGCATCATTATTGTTCGCCTTGTTGACGAGGTCTGCTTTTTAACTTCACCCCATCGGGCCCCATGTGAAGTGGGCCACCAAGTGCAAATGCTTAAAATAGAGCTGACAGCACCAGCAGCTGATACACACACTGGTCTGTGAAATACAAATACCTGCACGGCCACACAAAAATGTCGTCGTATTCTGCATAAATGAGATAAAAACACGGTTCGGCAGTCAATAGGTTGGTAAAATGATCAATGCATCTTAAGAGTTTACCTACATGTCTGCTGGCCTTCCCAGACTGGTGTCACGTGGTTTCATGGACACCCTGAGAGCTTTTGACCTCACGTACATCCATCCAGGACCCCACACACTCAGAAGGTCAAACTTTCGACCTGGTTATTTACAGTGTTCTCTGCCCTGACAACTGCCCCGGCTGAGGGTATCTGTGTGTCAGATCACGAAGCTGCTTTGTTTAATGTGGTTCTATTCTTTTCTCCACAAGCTACTCACGCTTCCCCTGTCTGCCACCGGGTTTTTAGGTTTCTGTCTGCAAGCGAGCTTTTACCTTTTTAATCTGACTATAATCACTTAAAGGTTTAGAGGAGCCGCCCCCTCTGAAACACACAATGTCAAATAATTCACGCGTTCATCTTTTCACGACACGACTACTGGATGTGCCAATGAATACGATGGTATAAATGTTGAAATGTTGAAGTAGTGCTTTGCTTATTTGGACAGATTTGTCCACCCACATGGAGGCTGTGTGAGTCCTATGGAGAGCACTTATAACAAAATGGAGTGGCGTGAGTGACCTTCCCAGCAGCACCTCAGTCAGTCAACCCATACTGCTGCTAACCAAGGGCAAACATATAACTCTATTGTAGCTCCGTAGCTACTTGCAGGGTAATCCTGTCACTCAAAAACGATCCAAGATGAGTCCTATTGTGAGGCATTGTGTCAACTACTACTTGTTATGAGGTGGAAAACACAGTCTGCCGTTTTCTTTAACCCCATAAAACTTCCATATACTGAATTATAGCAAGTATGCCTGCTATTTCAGAAATGTCAAGCTATTTTAAACTGACAAAAAATGTCTCTTTTTCTATTTCAGGACGCCGACATATAGACAGTAGTTCCCCGGTGGATTCTTTCCCCTCTGAATATAGTATACAGATAATTTTCATGAATCAATTCTACTAATACAACTGCAGAGACTCACTCACATACTTACTCACTCAATCATGCATCTATCCAACTACCCACATACAGACACGCACACAGAAGGGCACCGCCCTTTCCGATAGTTGAAACCCGAACCCTTGGACAGCTGAATTCAGTGTACGTGGGGGGAGGCATGAGGCAGAAATAAGGGCCAGATAGGGGGATGAGATACGGAGTAAAGTCCTGAAAATTAAGGAAATGTCCAGACATTTCAAGTAAAATGATTGTCAAAAAGGTAATCCAAGTAATATTATATATCACAAAAAGGATTGCATTTTTGATTGCAATAATAAACAGCCAATTCAGCTAAAGTTTCACCTTCACCAAAGCACCATATTATTAACTTTCTTTCAAAAGTACCCTCGTAGTCTTACCAAAGAGGCACCATTAACGCTCATTGACTGATGATCAGATGAAAGTATCTTGGAGTAGGAATGGGACAACTCTCTCTGCCAACACATGAATGCGTCTCCATTTTATTTTTATTCTCTGAAGCCATCGTCCACAATGCCGGTGACAATGATTGGGATCTTTGCTCGGGTTGATGCCTGGATTCTAAAAACGTGCGGTGAGGGTTTATTCAAAGGAACATTCGGTTTAGGTGAAGCGAAGGGGTGGAGCTAGACGCTGTGGGCTTGCAGACGGGCGAGAGTGGTCGGAGTGAGAGTGGGTGTGGCAAATCTACAAATAGCTGCGCTGGGCGTTGGATATTTCTTCACTTCACTTAGTTGCCCAGTGCGACAGTTGGGTCACAGCACCTCCATCAGAAACCAACAGATAGCCAAACAGTCAACCAGCCATGAGCAAGTCTTATTCCGCTTCGGCCCAGACGGCCTCCTCGTACCGCCGCACCTTCGGCTCTGGCATCGGGTCGACCCCGATGTCCTCCCACTTCTCCTCTGGGGCCGGTGGCCGCAGCTCCTCAGCAAGCCACAGGTCCTCCAGAGTCTATGAAGTTAAGAACAATGCTAGTCCCTCTTATTCTTCATACCGGGTGTCCTCTGGTTCCGGGGCAGGAGGGTTCGGCTCCTCCTCGGCCGTGCGCACCTATTCTGGCGAGAAACTCGACTTCAACCTGGCCGACGCCATGAACCAGGACTTCCTCAACACAAGGACCAACGAGAAGGCCGAGCTCCAGCACCTCAACGACCGCTTCGCCAGCTACATCGAGAAGGTGCGTTTCTTGGAGCAGCAGAATGGAGCGCTGATGGTGGAGATTGAGCAGCTGAAGGGCCGCGAGGGGCACGGCCGCGTGGCTGAAATGTACGAGGAGGAAATGAGGGAGCTGAGGAAGCAGATAGAAGTCCTCTCCAACCAGCGCGCCCGCGTGGAGGTCGACAGAGACAACCTGGCCGATGACCTGCAGAAGCTGAAGCTCAGGTAGGGTAAAGGACGGCTGAGTGAGCAGAAGGACCGGTGTACCAGTGGACGGACAATAAAGAGTGTCAAAGAATGAGGGGAATAAGGGCGGAAGGAAGTGTGCATTTTGACGGTATGTTCTAGAAAGCTGCGTGAGGAAAAGGCTGAGAACGGAACAATGGTCTCGGTCACAATGAACTCCTGTTATTGGGTAGTAAAAATCTCTTGTCTTCTTCAGGGGCCTCCAACTTTTGGGGCCTGCGATGAGCAGTTTAACCACATAGTGTCCGCTTTTCATAAAATACTGTATGTTTTTTAATGTTTATCATGAATTGACCCCTTTAATTTCTTGTGACCCCTTGGGGGGGTCTCGACCCCCAGGTTGGTAACTACCTGTCTACAAAACAGGGTGATTCATGGCTGTATGTTGAAATAAAAGAGAAAATGGTGAGAAATGGAAAGCAGGGGAAGGGGGTAGAGGCCATTAGAGGCATTCAAGAGGAAGGAATGAAGCTGAGACTAACACAGTTTTATTCAAGCAGAAAGAGAAGGAGACCAAAAAAGTTTTAAAAAAATCCTAAGCAAACAACATCCCTCAATACGACGTGTTTGTCGAACATTCGCTTTTCACTCTCTTTCCATCGGCCATTTACAAATTGTCTCCCGCCGCATTGAGTGAAGCTCGACAAAGCACCTGCTGCTCTCACTGAGATCAAAATACAGAGTTCCCCTCCCTGGTAACAGCTAGAATGCAGGCACACACACACACACACACACACACACGCGCGCACACACACACACACACACACACACACACACACACACACACACACACACACACACACACACACACTTACGTGAAAACAGCAAATAGACAAATACACACACAGACAACAGGATCCTGCATTTAACCCAGTGCACTTACCCACACAGTGATTGAAGACATCTTTTAAAAGCCCTTTTTCAGTTTGCGTACGCATACTTTACATGCATGCGTTTCCTTCTAGATTTTCCAGTAGTTCTGGGCGCAAAATGAAATGCTGATTTTAGTAACAGCTCCACCGAGGTTGCACCTCTCTGTCTGACTCTGAAAGTGTGACAGCAGCTGCATCACAGCTTTAGGACTCAAAAAGTGAATCAGTTATGATATTCTGAGCCGAAACAGAAAAAGGCACAGACGGCTGGAAGAATGCGAGGTGTAAGTAGTTTATCTCTCATGTAACGATCGCTGGGGAAGAATGCTCTGCAAGACACAGCTATTTTGTTTGTGTATACTTGTGTTTTAACCCTGGTTGTCCTTGTTCTTTCCAGACTGCAGGAGGAGATCCACCAGAAGGAAGAGGCTGAGAACAATCTGTCTGCGTTCAGAAGCGTATGTCCAGTATTTCCATTGAAATAGATTCATATCTGAGTGAATCGCACTTACACATCAAACATTTTATTTATATATATACCTTTTTGTTTTCCTTCACCTTTTGGATCTCTTCTGTTGCTTCTGTGTTTTTTTTAGGACGTTGACAATGCCACTCTGGCCAGGCTGGACCTGGAGAGACGCATTGAGAGCCTGCAAGAGGAGGTTGCCTTCCTCAAGAAGATCCATGAAGAGGTCTGTTGATATGTCTATGAAGTGTGCAGGACCACCACACCTGCAGTATGTCTACGTACAATGCATGTCAGGAGTGTGGTGTGTGCTGTATCCCATAACGGCTCCGTGAGTAACATTATATATATTTGAGCCTCTGTGGGAATGCAGCTCTTCAAAGGGATGCGGCAAAGACACGGGTGAACGTAAATGCTAAATGTGCATTGGACACATTTGTGCACATTGACCCGCAGACATCAAGGCACATACCGAGATACACACCCGGACATATGGCAGCACAGTTGAGTTCCCTCTGGGTCATTTTGTCATCTCTGCCACAGCGTTGACCTCTCAGAAATGCTGAACTGCCAACTGGTGGAAGAGCATGGAGCATGTCAGCTGTTGTGTGTGTGTCTGTGTGTGTGCGTGTAAGCGAGTGAGATAGACAGCGAGAAAGAATGCGTGCATGTGAACAGATGCCAAGCTTTTTATATCAGTTGGTTCAACTAGAAGACAGCTGAGTGGGACCAAAGCTAGTTTTACAATCTTAACTAGTGCTATTTTTTTGATATTTCTGATATTGTTTTTAATGCACTACCAGACTGTTTTCATTACCTTTATATTAATATATAATGTTATTGATGTGGGATTCCAAATTTGATTTTTTTCACTAACTTAAATTAGTTTGTTTTTCTTAATTGGCTCCCCATCCTGCATTTTGTAATAATTATTTTCTAATTTTGTTTATATAACATCTAACATGCATTTATCCTCTCGTCCCCTCGCAGGAGATCCGTGAGCTGCAGAGCCAGATGCAGGACACACAGGTGCAAGTCCAGATGGACATGTCTAAGCCCGACCTGACTTCAGCTCTGAGGGACATCCGTGTGCAGTATGAGGGCATCGCCGCCAAGAACATCGCAGAGGCTGAAGACTGGTACAAGTCCAAGGTAGAGCATGAGCACACACACACACACACACACACACACACACACACACACAGAGTTCAGCTGTGGTATCGTTAAAACCTCGTCCCGTCTCTCCTCAGGTGTCTGATCTGAACCAGGCTGTGAATAAGAACAATGATGCGCTGCGTCAGTCCAAGCAGGAGACCATGGAGTACAGGCACCAGATACAGTCCTTCACCTGTGAGATCGACTCACTCAAGGGCACTGTGAGTGTTGCCTGCTGTCCTTCTCAGTTATGTTCACATTATTAGTCTTCCTAGAGTTCAATGTTGTACCTCATGCCCCCCGTTCCCCTGTAGAACGAGTCTCTGCTGCGCCAGATGAGAGACATGGAGGAACGTACGGCCCGCGAGGCTTCTGGTTACCAGGATAGTATCACACGGCTGGAGGAAGACATCGCTAAAATGAAGGTAATTAGCCCTGTGATCTTACACGCCCTCTGCCATTCATTAATCCGGATTATGGACGGTGAGTAATGAGCTTGCCGTGGAGTTTGTTTTAGCAGATAATCGAAATCGTTTTGTATTCATTTTGAAGGACGATATGGCTCGTCACCTGAGAGAGTACCAGGACCTCCTCAACGTGAAGATGGCACTGGATATTGAAATCGCCACCTACCGCAAGCTGCTGGAGGGAGAGGAGAGCAGGTGTGTGCTCTTCACATTCGGTCGTGGATGAAACTAGACAGCAAACATTTTGACTTATCTCTTCCTGTCTAACGTTTTCATTTAACGTCTTTGCATTTTCGTTTTTCCCTCCACTTACTTGCTGGTGATATTAAGTCTGTGTTTTTCTCCTTCAGGATCACTACCACCGGGCCCGTCCAGTCTGCCTTTTCCTCTATTGGATTCAGAGGTAGAAGCAACAGTAGATACGATTTTATTACACACAAAAGAAAAGACTAATTATAGCTTGCTACTTTATATGGTGGGTGATATTTGAGGCCATCACAAGTTGCTTTTCTGCAGTGACACATTGTAACCACCGTGTGGTGCTATACGACCTAGCAAAAACCTTCATGCCTTTTGATGCACAGGGGCGATCATCAACAAGCCGCACACTAAATAATCACACAACTTAGCCCATTAACTTGATGTATCAATAGAGCAAATGTGCAATCCATCATTGCACACGAGTCCCATTGAGCCACTTTGCGGCTGATTCATTGAATACAGTGAGTAGTAATTAGAGATGATGTAACAGGTGCAGTGAGTGCAGGTGAATATGAGTTAAGAATATTTATAATAATAAGAATAAGAATATTTAACTTTTAATTTGCAGTCATACTGGCGGCAACAGATGGTTTCATGGCAGTTCGATTCATATGCGAGTTCATTTATAATGTTTCCAAAACCCAAATAATTAAAACAATACTGAGTTTTTTTTGACCAAATTAACTCTTGTGTAGGTTCAGCAAAAGGTTACCGCGTGAGTTCATGAAGTAGTAAACGAGCTGTATGAATGCATCGTTTCAGAGACCAGTCCAGAGTCCCAGCATCAGCGCTCCTCAGAGGTCCACTCCAAGAAGACGGTTCTCATCAAGACCATAGAGACCCGCGATGGAGAGGTGGGAGCACGCACTGCAACACACAGTATATGCTGCGATACCCAACACGCCCGTAGCCCAATACACCGTGAAAACATTTTGCAGTGATATTCTGTAGCTATTAAGAGGTGACAACTCAACAGTTTTCATTTTTGTATATTTTTATCTAGAGGACGTTTTCTATGAGCCAGGGCGCCAGTGCCCGGTCTGTAAGTCTGCTTCCAGCATCCCGCCATCATCTGTTCACTGCGGGCTGAAGCCAACTACCAGATTTTAGATCTGTGCCTAAAGCGATGACAGAATGGATCCGACAAAGAGTTCAAAGCGATATGTGTTGAAGTCAAAACTGCAAAACCATTTCTGCTGTCTAACTCCCTGAAATCTTGGTGGTTTGAGCCGACTCGCTTATAGATGCATTAGTGAGCCTCAACACTCCTCACCGGCTTCCTTTAAGAAGCTTCCCTTTCACTGTCCATCCCCGCGCACAGCACCGCAGCACGACTCCGAAACCCTGCTTCACCTTAGAAAGGAAATCTTGCCGCGTGTTATCTGCAACACTACAGACCTTAAAATGTAAATAATGATTGTTTTTCTTCTGTTTCTCTTCAGGTGGTCAGCGAGTCCACACAGCATCAGCAGGACATCATGTAAACCGGACGAGGACACTTTGGAAACACTATATAATCAATCAATAAGAAAGAATGAATATTTTCCTGCAATGGTTTATAAAATGAATGCAGAATATTTAAGCAGATTGGGATGAAAACCAAAATGAAATAAGCAAATCCAACCAGTATACATCTTTAGACGTTGTACTATAAACATGTTTAACTGGACAGATGCTCAGTCACTGTCTTTGGACTGCTTTTAAAATATGCTCATTCCAAGATATGTGATTTGTTCATGTTTAGTTTCCTTCCCTCAAAAAACACCTGAATGTGTTATTTCAGGTCTGCAAAAATAATCTGACGGGGAGAATAGAGTTTCAAATGAACAACAAGGCTTTGTCGAGGCCCAGGGAGGCTTTAAGAGTGCACGACAGATCGATGGGAGTCAAACGTAATACTGTCACAATCACTTTTCAACGCTCATATTCCAAAGTCCTTCTGCGCAAACGCACAAGGATATAACGAGGCTTTTATTTGTGTAACTGATTTAAGGAAGGCGAGCCGTTGTGTCGTAGACACCCGATGACAAAGGAGGTGTTTGAAGCTGGAGTTAAAAAGCACGTGCTGGTTGTTTGTTTGTACGCGTATGGGCGGCCATGAAACTGAAATAAAGACGTTTGTTACCACCGTTTGTCATTTGAAATCAGCCAGTTTCAAAAGAAGACACAAGAAATCACTTTGCTCTTTGTGCCACCATACATGGCACATTATTGTGTAAGAGTCTCCCTTTTAAATGGACTCATTAGTATTCCTCAGAGAGCGCACACGCCTTTGCGTTGGTTCCTCTATGGACTGCTCCTACCCACTGCATTCATCATCTGACGGGAGCTGTTCGAGCTTTCTCAAAAGATAATAGCTTCCTCAGCCAAGCGCAACCGTTTCCCGTTCACACTTACCTCACTTTTATTAAGAACACCGGAGTTGCTTCCCCGTTGAAATGATTAGTAGACTGATCTGGGTGAAAGGAATAGTGAACAATGGCTCGTCAACGAGCTCGCTTGACCTCGGTTTCATGAAAAGGCAGCAGATTAGCTCGGCGTCAATAATTACGCAGCCCCTGCAGTTTGTGTCTGAAGTCTCTGAACTGAAAATGTCAGCAAAGATGACAAAAAAAACAACAACAACAAAACGGGTATAGGGGAAGAGAGCGAAAAGAAAAACACAGCGAGGGAAGACAACAAACAAATCTACAAGCTGGAGAGCGAGACTGAGAAAAACAAACGAGAGAGACAGCGCAGAAATGTAAAGAAAAGGTTTTTCAGATACAAAGGAAAAAAGAGGGACGAGGCTAAACGAAGACACGGAGAGAAAGAGAATGAGAGGCAGTCATCTAAAGCTCTTGAGCCATGTTGATCAGGACTTTCTGCCTTTGTCACGGTTTCCTCTCATATGCTGCCAATGCTGTTTGCTTCCCCTTCATTATAGGAAGAACAGCAGCCTGTTGCTCTTCCATAAGCTTTGAATAAGTGTATACGTTGAGGAATACAGGAGTAAAAAAGAAAAGATGTCAAACGCGGCTCCTTTGTTGTGTTGCTCGAAGACGTCATATTATATCCAGTTTTCTGAACATCGACTCTGATGTGAATGAAAGGCCCACATCTGCCTCTACATGCAACTGCAAACGCTCTGACTCTCTAAGGCTCGATGGCACAGCACACCTAACCATTGTAACTTCACTCAACGCCACTCAATAGGTCACCTAGGTTAGGAGAGTGCACACAACAGAAAACCTGTTTGAGGTAGTGGTGCACATGTTTTTTTTTTGTTGATATGCTTCAGTAAATATTTGTTCTTTCTACCCACAAATGTACCTCGATAAACATCAATCACTATGTAGGAACAGTGGAGACAAAAAAAATGCATTAGATTGTAGAATCACAATGTTTATCATATTGTAGGTCCATATAAATTCATGCTATCAATAATAATAATGACAGGGTTATTAATAATAATAATGAAATAAACAGGGTGGTAAGAAAACAAATTGGCGTCTCCGCTTGCCATTTTGAGCAATTGTTGAATTAGCGATGGCTCCTGATAATCCGTTGCGGCTGTTCTTCAACATCACACATTGAAACGACAAGATGAAAAGGATACAAGTGCATCCACCACCCAGACAAATTAAACCAATAGGACATTAACGACAATGAAACACAGGTCCAATCTGCAGGATAGATGACAGAAGTGTTCATGGTATCAACATGAAAGTTAAAGAAAGTTGCACATTTGAAAATTATTTACAGTTCAATATCTACAAGTGTTTCTTCAACAGATATTCAGTAGTGACCACAAAATATTAAAATGAATAATAAAAAAAGAGTCTAAAATGTTAGATAGATTGAGTAGAATAGAGTGAAACCCTAAAAGAAGACCGAACTGGGACCGAAGTGCGAGCACAACCACAAATAACACCTGTACACTCACTACTGCAAAATATTGCTGGCATAACAATGATACAGCAGAATAGAAGGGTGACTCAGCAAAATGCATTTCAAGAGCAGGGGAAAAAGAAGAGTGGAGAAGATGCTGGCAGAAGAGTCTTATTTCATCACTCGGTGTTGGATTGTGTTTTGTGGGACCAACAAATTTAAAACGTAAATCTGAGGTTTTCACACGACAACAGTGACACGCTGAAACACCGACATAAAGGAGACGGTTACACGGGGATTCTCATGCAGTAATGGACCCAGGTGAGAAGGATTGGTCCTGGTGCCTGGTTCGGATATTCAGTATTCAAGAACACTACTGTGGAATCTTTTTGTTCATTTAACTCTCATGGATTCTCCCAAAATTGCTACATTGGCAGTGTTGGTGTTTATCGTAGCTTACTTCCAAAGAGGTTTAAATAAAACAAGAAGCAGTTCCTTTTTACTGAAAATACGTCTTTTTACAAATCCAACTCTCCGGATGTTTGGCACAACAACATTAATGTCTGGGAACACGTTTGGCTTCAAAAGCCTCCCACACGCAAATGCATGTAACACACAAACATATGCACACAAAAACAGCAAGTCTATAAAAAAAAATCTGGTCCAGCAGTAAACATCAACAGCAGGGCGCAAATGATTTCATGTTTCTTCATTTACATGAGATTATCTCCCTCCTCCTCGTCCTTTTCATCAGTACACACGACATTCAAACTATAACATTTACATATACGAGTATGCCGGTTCTCCAACGTGAACCAGCATACATGTGAGAAAAGAAGACAAGTGAAACAGCTTCGTCCACGAATCCCCCTCTACTCCTCTACTGCCAGTGTGTGGTGCAATCCATCACTTACCACAGGGCTTCTGTGTGCACGCACACACACACACACACACACACACACACACACAGTAGGTTTAACTTCTTCACTGCCGGGTTTATTCCCCGATTTACACTCTGAATTTTAAACGTCTTATTCCTGGATGGCAAGTATCAGATGGCAGTTCCTTCTGTGTGCGCTTCAACATCATATTGAGAGAGCTGACGAATAAATTAAAAAAGTCAAATTTTCCTGGATAAGAAGAGGAAAAGTGACGCGTGAGCTTTCACGTCAACATTAGATAATTACATACAGTAGCTTTCGAAGAAAAGAAGGGGAACTGCGTCCGTGTCTCTAGAAAGGAGAATGACGAGATGGAAGCACATTCAAAAGGAAGAATGGCATAAATGTAGGCGATGACATGGAGCGCTTATGGCTGAAATAACAGAACATTGGACTTAGGTTTTAACTCTGCACACCTGAAATAAGTTCCTCTCCCACCGTTTGAAGCGGCAGAAGACTTGCGTTGGCATTTCTGGATTCACAGGCTGTCAGTGAAGATAACGCGGTGTCCACCTCCCGTCACACGCTGACCTTTCAGTGGAGAAAATGATGAAAAAGAGCTGCCTTGCTGTTTCAGTCTTCAGCTGTGTTTTCTGTTGTTGTTTTTCTGCCACATTCCTCCTCTGAGCGCTCTTAATGGGATCCTTCAAGCTAAACGTTGACTCCTTAATTTCCCTTGAACTAAAGATGCCGCCGAGGGTTAAGTGAAGACTGTGCCACCTTGAGTCCACGGATGCCTTGAGATGTTTTTTTTCTGCTCCATTATTCCCAATGTCCTCCAGAACCAAATTTAAAAACCGTGTTTTAAGCCTAATACAGTAAGTGATGACTGCGTTTGACATTTGACCAAGCGTACAGTTCTTGCTCCATCTAAAAGAAGAGGTGGCTGCTCTTGTGTGTTGAGAGTTGTAACCAACACAACAGAACTACACTGGTCACAAAAAAAAGGAGGAGAAAACCAGCGTGCGACTCACCACCTCCTGATACAGTTGACACACGGGGTTTAGGTTTTGATAACCTTAACAGTGACAAAGAGGTTCGAAGTGACCTCGTGTAGCTGTGTGCGAGGTCGGGGCGACGCGTGTTCATTTTCCATGTCTCAGATGTGGACCGGGGGTCCGCTGGGAGCCGTGAGGGGCACTCGAGAGCCGCAGTCGTAGTCGAGTTCTGCCATGCGGGAGCGGCTCATCATGCGGCTGCTGGAGTAGGCTCGTCTGTCCGTCTGTCGGTCCCTGAAGCTCTTGATGTAGCTCTGCAGACGGACAGATTACACGGGGTTGAGGTGTGATGGATAATGACGGTAAAGTGCTCAGACATTGTACACTTCTGTACAACAACTACTGGTGAAGGAGAGTTCAATTTTTTGCTTTCTCTCCCAGAGAATAATTAAATATCCATACCGTCCTCATGCCTGTCAGGTCAAAATGAAGATGTTGTTAGCGTCATACAGATCCAATCTGCATGCTAAGGTTAGATAATTGTCCGCACGCTCCAGTTCCTTATGGAACGTACTGACATGAGTCAAGAAAGTTTCCCAAAAATGTCAAATCTTTAAAGGTGTAGCATGGAATTAGTCAAATATAGATTAGAACTAGGGACATTTTTTTTTTCAAAAAAGGAAAACAGATGAAAAAAGGATCACCGGTTTTTCTTCCCACACACATTATTCTAGAGGTGTTTTGCACACAGCTGCTGCATTTTACTGATTACTGAAGTATTTTGCACATGAAATAGAACCATCATTTTTTTTTACGAGGAAGATTATTCCATTACTGCTTGAAATATGTCATTTTAACCGACGTAGCCCTTAACCCAGCTCCCTTTCATCTCATAAATGCGGATTCGTTGCATCTCACCGGGGACAGAACGTCTCCATCAAAGCGCCTTTTGGAGTTGGCCTTGCGTTGGTGGCCCGGCTCGGTCTGAGGTGGAGGGGCTTTGGGTGGCTGGGTGCTCTGGGCTTGGTGATGCGGGTGGGACGCCGCAGGGTGACGGTACTGCTGGTGCTGGTGGTGGTGGTGGTGGTGATGGGTGTGGGCTTTCTGCTTGTGGTTGGTCTTCTGGTTCTCTCGTTTCTTCTTCTTTTTGTTCTCCTTCTCCTTTTTCAGCCTCTCTTCCCGCTGTCGGATCCGCATCAGCTGAACTCTCCGTTGCTGTCGACTCAGAACCACTGGAGACAAAAAGGGGGGAGCACATGTATAATTATGAGAGAGAGCGAGAGGATGATGCAGATTGAACAATGCAGCTTTTATGGTAAGACAAACCAAAAGGCTGCACAAAGAAAAAGGATTCATTTCCCTTATAGTCTGTTCAGTCCAGGCAGATCATTTTCCTCGCAGCATGCGAGTGAGTTTAGTGTTATTTTCAATCACTTCCTAGAAAAGGACGCCCAGAATCCATTCGGTCTCGCTGCCCATTGATTATCCATCTCGTTCTTTTCAGTCATGCATGTTTTGATGTAGCCGTTTAATATGCAGTAGTGCCGGAGAAATATTTCACGTGCAACAACAGCGCCGAATCTAATGAAGCAAAGATAAACACTATGTGTCACAGTTAAAGTGCGAGTGGGTCGGCGTGGAAGTGTTATAAGGTCTATTGTGGTTTCTTTGTGCGGGGTGGACAGCTAACTAGGCACCATCTGCCATCAGCGAAAAGGCCTTCTTTTGCCCGCCCCCCCCCCAAATCCCCCCGGCCCCTGTGTGTGTGTGTGTGTGTGTGTCTTCTTTTACATATGTCTGTGTAAGAACTAATGTCAGTTTTAGACATTTTAGCCAGTCCCAACATCATTAAACGAGTGTTTCGGAGTTTAGTTTGAGAATGAATAATGAATTATTATTATTAAGTATTAAGTGCACCAATGCCCCAAAAAATTAAAAATTGTGCCATCTTTGATCATTCCTGCTTCCTACTCCATCAGCTGACCAGACAGATGCTTTCCCTCACTGATTACACTTTGGTGCCCCGTTAAACGTTGTGCCCCAGTTTATTACCCACTCCTACCCTTCCCCCAGTACACCTGCTCCCAACGTCCCATCCCTCCCCGCCTCACCCCCCCACCCAGCTCCCCTCCCCATCCTTCTTTGTGTTTCTAAACAATGCTTTCCATCATTACAGAAAAGCTCAGACAAGTGTCGATACATTAAGGATTCATGCTGTATAGGTAAATTGTGTTTGGCTTCTGAGTGACGCAATGGAGGCTCTTATTGACCTGGATCTCATCACAAAACAGGACTAACTACTTTACCATTGATTCCTAGAGCCTCTACCTGATTATTCTTCCCAAACACAGGCTATAATATATATTTACGGCAATGAGGTTATGACATAAATGCAGTGTTTGGTTGTCTTTGCTCTCCTTTTAGTTTTATTTCCTACAGTTTTTGGACAATACTGTGCATGGTGTATTTCATTTTTAAGTCTCTTTCCCCCTCACATGTAGGTCATTTGTCAAAACAGCACTTTCTCTGGAAGCCCCGCCAGCCTGCTGTCTAATCCCATTATTTGAGCCCATGTGTGACTTTTTCTAAGAGACTGTTTAACTCTGCATGTCGCACACCAGCAAAGATCAAGTGTCAGAGTTTAATTGTGTGCAGTAAGTGAGCGAGCGGCTATATTTCTGCCTCTGCGCGAGGCCGTTTAAGCGCATGAGCTCTGTGCATCGAGTGCCGCATTTGCACCGCGTGTGATTGGTGTGTGTGCGCGAGTGTGATCTTGCCATCTGTGTTGTGGTCGCTTTCAGAACAGATTAAGGATGCGTCTTTTAAAAAGGCACATTCAGCCGATAACACCGATTGCTGTATTCAGACACACACACGCACACACAGTGTTCCCTGTCCTCACAATGGTAATTTCTTAAGCTGCCGATTAAAAGGTAGGATAGATTCGTCCGTCTTGATAAAATGTCACCAGCTCGTACGGCCCTTTGTGAGATCAATACTGAAAAGAAGGCTTTGGCCTCGCTCCGCGTATTTGGCATTCTCAGAGAGCAACTAAGATTTAAGTGCAAATGAAATCTATGAACACGATGAAAATATTTCAAAACTAAGTTCAATTCATATTTAATCAAACATCCCTTGCTCCAAAATTCAACTGCACAGTTCCCAGTGCTGGGACACAGCAGCAACCGTCGTGCTTTTCTAATTCTATTTAAAAGTATTTAAGCTTGAAATGCCTCATTGACAAAAATCTCCTTAACACGAAGGTGATGACCAAGAAAGGGAGCAGCCAATTAAACGGTTTCAGTCAAATAACGCGTCTCCATACCAAAAATAAGATCCCATCCTGGATCACGCAGAGGAAAGCTCAGTTAAACTCCTGCAAATCACTTAGGAGACACCAGCTCCCCCGGACCAAAAATCAATCTGCAACAAGTTCCAAGCCGCAGGAGCAGCAGACCTGAAAGCACCTTTCCCCGTTTCACGAAGGACGTTTGGCAAGTGGAGCCTTGTGGATACTTTACCCAGCAGAGACAGTCGCAGCGCTTTCCAGATGGATCAATATAAGCAGTTATGAAGGAAGCCAATTGAGAATTGCCTTATCAATAAGGACGTGTCGGTGAGTCAGATGGACGACGCAAGATAGATGGTGAGGGAGGTAACGAAGCTCGCGGATGCATGTATACAGCGTCTAGAGGGGGGAGGCGTTGGGAAGACGCAGGCAAATGTAAGACGTCAATCGCAGTCGCAAAAGCAGCAGCGGCTAGTTTCTAATTCCCTCACAAAAAAACAAAAAACGCTGATTTTTCTCTGAAATAAAAAGGCAGCCTCAACTTTAACTTTCTGAATCTGATTTTCAAAAACCACAGAAAGTCGTCAATCAGGAGTCTTAGATATTTATAGGGGGATTCAGCCACAGCCACATTGCCTGGGAACGTAATAATGGGAGGATGGTCGGGTGGCTTTCTCATTTGGACTTGTGACAGCTCGTGCCTGTGGTCTGCCTCGCCATAAAGCCAGAGCGGACCCAGCGAGTTGAGCGCCAGCTCTCTCGGATCAGCAGTTTAATCCATCAATCCTTCGTGTGGGAGCGGGAGCCCCGTCGGACCGTAGTCTTACTCTAGCAGTAATTCATAAGATGCTTGTTTGTGCGCAATTCCATTTATGCATTTGATTTGATTCCGTTTTTATATAAAATCCCTTAAGGATAAGATTAAAGGCACGTTGTATAAAGACACATTTTTTTCCAAACTGCTCTGTAAGTGTCCTTTTTTCATTGCTTCGCCCTGTTGTCAATAATGTGACAACTACACATCCTTACCTAGTATCCGATGGCTAATGCAGAGGAAGCGGTGGACGTTTGAAAAGGAAAACCAACAGACACGGCAAAGTAGTCTTGCTGCAACACGGCCCTTCGACCACAATAACATCTCAAGTTATTGAGACATCTCAAGTTAGCTGTTGAAGGCCCGTGTGAAGCAGCGTCGCTCACCCTCCGTGTGGGAGAATCCCTCGGCGGTCACTTTCCATTGGATCAGCACTCCGAGGAGGGCCAACACAGGCCACACCCCCAAGATGATCCACGTAAACCAGCACACTGGCTTCTTTGGCGCCACCTGAAAAAAAAGCATTTAGAATATTAGATGAATAATTTCACTTTAATAAAACCAATCATTCGAGCAAAATAACTAGTTTCTCACTATGCGAGAATTCCCGCATGGAAAAGTAAAATATCCATATGAAAGTTAACTAAGTTTGGAGTAGTATTGCGCGTAGTCAAATAAAACTAACAAACAAATGAGAAGGGATACACGTGAACAAATGAAAAGAGGCCTGATAGGTAGATATATTTTGGAAATGTGATTATGGTTGAAAATTTGATCAGGGGAGTGTTACAAATCAAATACACACTGTGAGGAATTGAATTAAGGACCTAAATAATTCAATGGGGGAAGTGAATAAATTAAGATGCTTCAATAAAGGGCACTGAACTGTCTGACAAGTATGCAAAGGTCTTAAATGCTTTGCCGATATATATATATTTCCTACAGATAAATTAATCACTTTCCTTAAGGTTTCTTTTTTTCCGTTTTTTTCCTTTAATTCACTCGCACACACGCACACCCTGCCACTCCAGAGTTTCTCAGAGAGAACGCACAGAGGAGCCTACCCGCAGTCTCTCGTAGACGTAGTGCACCAAGGCGAACAGCTCTATGAAGTAGTCCACGGTGACGGTGATCACCGCAGAGCCGAAGGTGGCGGTGGAGAGGGTGACGAAACAGCGCTGCCATTGGAGAGTGAGGACGGCGAACAGCGTCCCGGAACCCAGGAGGATACCCAGAGGAACCCACACTGTTCTGGGGTGGTAGAACTCCTCCATGGCCTTTGTGAGAGAGGGGAGGTCACATTTTACCCCGGAAGTTATAGTCTTAGTTTTTATGCCGCCCGCCATTTCACGGTGGCTTGACATTCACAAATGAATATGTAGATCTAAACGAAGCACAACAACAATGTGTTTCCTCACCACCAGTGAAGCCACTCCTACCAGCAGGCCCAGCAGGAGGCCCACCATGAACAGCCCCACGCTGCGGACCAACATGGTCACCAGGCCACACAGGGTGCCGATCCCCAAGCCGATGCCCACCGATGCCTCCACGCTCAGCTGAGTGTCCATCACCCTCTCCTTGTAGCACAGCATGAAGATGACCACCGAGCCGAACATCAGGCCGGTGAGGAACAACACGGCCTTAAAGCATCGATAGCCTGCAGGAGGAGTTGGGAAGCAAGACATCTGTGGTTGGAACCGTAGACGTGCATGTTTGTAGATACATCGACAGCCGCCATTGTGACTGATGTCCATGCATCCGGCAGATCCCACCAATCACAAGGCTGTCCTGTTTACTTCCTTTCTGGTCCAATTTAGGATGGTAGCAGACATTAAATTGTTTTTAGAAATGGTTTATGACTGATATATAAAGGATTTATAAAATTATACATTGACTGGTAGCTTTCCTGATTATATTCAAAGGTTTTCTCAATGTGGCTGACTGGGCATGGATTGCTTTTTTAGGTTCTTGAAGATAAAGGCTGAGATCTTATCTAAACAGAGGACAGCGGGCTGATGCACAAATAAGAGCAGAACAAACAGCAGCCTGCCTGTGGTGGTTGAGGGGGGGGTTTCTTCATTATGAGCAGATAGAACAGTTTCTAGAAGCCTTCATGAAACTGCTTTAAAATATAATAATGGTCGTATTACAACAGGTCATCTACATTCATTAGTCAACATGGCGGCTGCAAAGAACAGCTGCTCTCCTTCTTTTCTATTTTCTGGTTGGCACAGTCCGCCCCGTCCAGTGCCTTTGCGTTCTTTTGTTTTGTTTGTAAATCTCTCACCAGTTATTCCCCATCGTTATCTTCTTGATTACAACAAACTGCAACGTATTATTAAAAGCTCAATTTATCAAGAGTCACAATCTCATGGCCCTGGCTTTTGTGTTTATTAATATTTACGTCTCGTTTTCCATTTGCTCCATAACTCCTTCCTTCATCGTCTGTCTGGACGGGGGGGGGGGGGGGGGGCATCCGATTGTTATCTGTGTGTAATCAGGCATTGCACAGCTGAGCCAGACAAGACTCTTCCTCTCAGCCAACACACTGGCCCTGCTCCTCTCTGGTGACCATACGATGCACACAGCTTTCTCTACTTCCTTCGGCTCAATCCTGTGTGTTTTCCTTGGTATCTCGTGGCCACCGGGCCCAAAAAGGTAAGGAGTAAAAGCTGTCATTTTCCCGTCAGTCTCTATCAATCAATTAATATATTTGGAAATATCGTGCCTCTTTTTGATTAATATTTAGCTTCTGGTTTCTGTGCTTTGACCAGTCGTTCTCTCCTCCCCCACTGTTACAACCTTCTACTCCCTCTTATGTCTCTTGTTGGTTCCCTTACTTTTCTACCGGCGTTTGAGCCTTCATCCCATCTGTTCAATCTGGTTTATCAAGCTCTTGGATGTCTTCCTTTCGCTATTCAGCCTTATCCATCGCATCATTATTGCTCCAGCTTTGATGTTGTTTTGGGGATCAGATACATGACAGCTAATCCTTTCTGCTGGAGACGTTGGAATTAATACCAAACTCTACAATTCCATCAGTAGGGGGATTTAATTTCAGTCTGCAGAAATGTATTTCATATGTGTGTGTTTGGAGTTTCTGAAAAATATGCATTGTGTCTTGTCTGCATGACAGTGTTTTATTGCCACTGAGGTGAAAATGCACCTCTTTATCTTATGCTGTCAGACAAACAGAAAGAGATGGTGCAGGACGGAGGTGCAGTTTTGGAAGAAAAGTGATGCCATTCCAGTCGGAAACACAACCCCCTTCATTTTATGGAAGCATGTATGAAACAAATTTGACAAACGGTGTGATTCTCTAAATTTAGCCTTTTGAACTGCTGTTAATTGAGTAGTACAGGAGACTAAAACAGGACCACCGTTAGCTTGCTAACAAAGCTGATAAAGTACATTTAAAGTGATAAAGTTGTCTTTTACATTTATTCTCCAAAAGCATCTGAATCTGACAAGTAAAGTTAAAGTAACATAGAAAAGAAGATTTGAAGGAATATTATCTTGAGTCCTTCCAAACAGCCGCAGCAATATTTAAAATCTTTGCCACTGCCTCTGTAACCAGAACATTGCTGCAATAAATGAGCAGACAGACATGGAAACACACCCAGAGCAATATTGAAATGAGTTGAATCTTTGTAAAAATAAGATTCATGGAATATTTTTAACGTAATTTTAACGTTTTAGTCATTATTTGAGCACGTTTATGGGAATTAGCCAGTTCCTACTCAAGGGGAAATATAATTAGTGTTTGAGAATTTGTTGCAATGGAAACTCCATTAGGACAAATCTCTCTGCCTCTCTCTAATTATTTATTGATCGCACATTCCTGTAATTACTTTAGAACAAAACTCATTAGGATGAGCCCTTAGTTTGTGTGGTGCAATCCAACACACATCATACAAATAGAGCAGTGAGTAAAGTGTGAGTCCTGGTATTCAGTGGCCCACAGAACAAACAAAAAACTCTAGGCCTGATGTTGTAGATTGATTCCACAACTACGTCAACTTTTCTTTTCTTTTTTTTCCAGCAGTGCAGCTGTAACAATTAGTTGAAAGAAAAAGGAACACGTCTCTGAATAGGAAGCACAATAACGTTTTTTTTTTCTGTAACGGCAGGCATTCCAATTTCAGTTATCCTGCTGATGACAGCAATTTTGGGGAGTGTGTAGAGGAAAAGATATTCAGGGATTGGATGGAAATATAAGAAACCATCCAAATACGCTGCCACAATAGCTTAGTCTGTAGAAATGAGATTGCGATATTGATTAACATTGCCAGGAACAAGAACCCCTCTGTGTACCGCTTTTAAATCAATAACAGCAAAGAGCAGCACAGCGGAATTAACTGGAAATAAGATTTCAGGACTCTTTGGCGATATGTTGTACTTTCCAATTATTTGCCGGAACGTAAACATATGAAGTTTTATTGGCAGATTTTTACTGTTGAGCTGTTTCCTTCGTCTCTATCCTTATAGCTACTGTGTCATGTTCATAAACTAGAATATAATCACTAATGACGGGGTCGTAATGGCGCAGGGGTTAGAGAAGGTGTGCTGGGAAGCACAAGGTTGTTGGTTCGATTCCAGGCTGCCTGATATTCCATGTTAAAGTGTCTCTGAGCAAGACACCTAACCCCTAATTGCTCCCCGGGCAAAAATATGAAAAAGCCATGGGTTTAAACCGAATGTAAGTCACTTTGGATAAAAGCTCTTTTGTGAAAAAGTAGTTAAATTGCAAAATCACCGAACTTGTTTTTAAATTATTCTCTTAGGCTAATGTTAAAGGAATAGTACAATACAGTGGGCAATATGTTTATTGCTTTCACAGTTGGATGAGAAAATAGTGTTATTATATATATATAAAATGTTATTTAGCTAAGGAAACAGAGTTTAAGAAAACTGGCTGCAGTAATGGGGACAAAACCTCCACAATTCCATTGTATGGGTTAAACAAAAATCATACAATGTGTTAAATAATTAGCTTTTGATGTGCTATTTGCTATTTCCCCCCGAAGCTGCATCTTCAACATGCCTTTCAGTAACCAGCACACAAGCAAAGCGTTGACTACGTCCCCACTTACCAAAGAAGCAGTAGATGATTCCAAAGAGGCAGCACATGGAGCAGACCACCGAGGGAACAATCTCATATCTCCTCTCAATCTCCTGGTCACACCTCAGGCTCCCCTCAGCCAAACCCAGCAGTTGGTCGGTGGAAGTCATGGTGACCGCAGTGGACGGTGGGGAGGTGAGAGAGGGGGGGGGGCACGGGTTTTGGAGTGGCGGGGGATGTGAAAGGAGGAGCGGATCAGTGGGTCTCACCCATTGAGACGTGTTTACCTGCAAACGTGGGGCACAGAAAGAAAGCGGTTGGAGAGAGGGCAGGAGTAGGACGAGACAAGGAGATGGGAGGGAGAGATGATTGATTGCTCACTTTAAGAGTTCAGCTGTGAGCGCTGACAGAGCAGCGAGCATGCATTGGCGTTTTGAAGAAAAGAAATCACAGTATATCACAGCTTAACGACTCCATGCAAATGAAATGTCTGCATTATTTATTCCTGCCACAAAGCTTAATTTGGATAACAAGCGAAAGTGATCCCTGACCACTACTTTAATCACCCACTTGTAAGAATACAAGATGAGAGTATTCACTCACTGTTGTTGTTGTTGTGTTAAACTAAAAGGATGCTCCCTCCTAACTTGGTACACAATTGTGCTCCACTATTCACCCTGTATCATGTTTTGCTATTGTTAAGAAACACTCGTCGGAGACATAATTATTAGAGTGGTACATGTATTGATTGCTCATGCTGCAAATGCTGAATATGGTGCATGGTCTGTGAGCATTAGTGCAACATATGTAAGAGGTTATGATCAACAAACTAAACCACCAGCTGGACTGCAATGTTATCAAGCAAACCACTCAACTTCTAACACTCAGCGAGGATCTTTTGGGGTGGACAATTTTCTGAAATCCAACTTCTATATACCAATGACAATGTAAAGGAGATACTGTTGGATTGTATGTTTAAGTGAAAAAACAACAATAAAAACTTAATCCATGAGCAACCACAGCCTCTTCTGGCTTTCAGCACTACGGGATTTCGAGAAACAAAAGTTGGGATGAAAAGGCAAAACTTACAGGAGGAAAAAGCAGACATTGTATTCATTGAGCATAAAACATTCATTTTAAAGTGGTTATATTGCTCCAGCTATTGAACTGTATCAAACTGTGGCACTGACTACACTTTATTTTAATTTTTGAATGATATTTTGCTGCTACACTGTTTGTTGTTTATGAGTTGTAACTGTTTTTCTTAATTTATTTTTGTACCCAGAGTGTAACTTTTTTTGTGTCTTTGTCAGATTTTCTGGTAAACAACACAGTTCCATGTTGATAACTCCATTCTTGATCGATCTGCTTGTGTCCTTTGGGTCGCCTGAAGACCCAAGCGGATCAATTAGGAGTGAGCTGCCGAAACACCAATCCGCCCCTTTTTCTTAAGGGTTGAGGGCTTATGTTGGCGGAAAATGTGCCCTGGATTTCCACTTTTGGTTTTGGTAGTTTTTTACTATAAATATAGTAAAAGTTAGGAACATCCTCTGAGAGGCTCAAATTTCAGTATTTAACTATAAATCCTATTTATTTCATGAAAAAAACACTATACTACATATTTTATGCAGCCAATTACAGTAATTCATGCAAAGGTCCAGTCTTTACCCAAGTCTTTCCTTTTCTCTGTTCCACGTTTGACTCTATCTGCAGACTTGAGATGTGATGTTCCTTCAGTCTGGATCCATTACATTTGTCTGATTGTCTCCCTCAGGTAACTGTCGCTGCCATGTCAGAGCACCGATGACACAAACACACCCCCGCTCTCCGTCTCCCGTGTTTACTATTGCATACACGTACACAAACATTCTCACGCACACTCACCGGCCAGGCCGCACAGAGGTAATCATTATTGACCGTATTGTGGGTGCAGATGCTCTGTGCGGCGCTCACACATACACACACACACGCTTCAGTAGCCATGGTGATGTTTAGCAAATGAACTCCTCTGGAGAACTAAACAGTCAAACCCCCGAAATCCTTTTTTCCCTCAGCATGACGTGCTGTGTGCTTTGGAGAAAACACAACTACACAGAAGTGGGATTTAAGAAGGGGTCCCAGATCGTCACATTCTCTGCAGTGGTCAGGATGAGCTGACGTGCAACTACAATGTACTGAGCATCCCAGTGTGGAACGCTAAACCAAGAGCAACTAAGTGGTGAGCCGATTTGAATTTGAACGGTAGCCTTATTGTTTAAAACAAGCACAAAATCTGTACTGCAGGAAAAAAAAAAGTGCACTTACATAAGGGAGAAAGTCACCAATTGCACACACAACATCCGTCAAGGCCGAGCTGCATTCTTATTAAATAACCAATTGCATAATAATAACTAACAACATGGAAACGGACGAGAAAAGTATCCTGGAAAACAGTTTCTCAATAAATGATAGCTTCACATTTCCAGGTGCCATTTAGACATCTAAATGTCAGCTTCTGTAATTGCTTTTAAGCCCGAGGCGCAGCGCGTTTCATCAGATCCCTTTCCCTGTCCGCAACACCCACCTGAGCCGATGCCTCTGGGTCTCCCTGTCACTGCTTATACACAATTAAAAGCATTAACGCGGATTAGGATGAACTATAAACTAGTCTCAAACATTTTAATGCCACATTGTAAATGATCCTCGCATTGGGAGATGTCGGGAGCGCACGAGTCAGACCGTAACGACAGCTGATTAGCATTCATAAGTAGTCTTTAGTGGCAACCAGGTTAGCTAAACGGCATTATATGTCCCGAATGGCTGAAGTGAGAAAGTTTATAGAAACAACTTGACTTCTACAGCATATTATAATATATCTTCAACTGCAAATTCAGACAAAAAACCTGCACTAGTTTGCATTTCATGCAAATAGGGGGGAAGATCCTTGAAAAGTAATTGGAGGAATTTGGGTCCATAATTGCCTGTTTTGTGAAGACAGATTCTAAGGAAGAAACAGATTGTGAAGTTTCACCACAGGCAGCCTAACTCAGGAGGAAGATTAAACTGAAAACGCACGTTGCTGATTATGAAGAATAATCTTCAAAGCTGCCTTCTCTCTCTCCTTCCCTTTCTTAACAATACAAATTCAATCGAGACATCCACAAGGATTTTTTGCACTTCTGAGCAATTTTAATATTTTAGACATTATGGAATTTTGAGCTCCACTGGTGATTTGGACGTTACGGTGTGGAAGATGTTTAACACTGCGGTGTTTTGTTTCTTCTTGTTTGTTTTTTTGGTCCGTCCCCACGGCATCCAAAACAGCACAGCAGAGAAAAATGAATTTCCTTGTCCGACAGAGCCCCATAAATTGTTGGAGGAAGTGTGCTTTGTTACACGGCTATGCGCTTTGCGTGATGTTATCGATATACCCACGGTCACAAGGAGAAAAGCAATTTAATAAACGTCAGAATTACATAGTGTGAGGAGAGCAGTAGAAAGTCTCAGAACGTCAGTGTTGCCACAGAACATATTATAAGTCAGGAGCACGACTCTTCCAAGGTAATGCTGATTTTAATGCGTGGAGATTTCCATTGTGACCCAACGCCGCCTCTGCTAACTGCTACACTGGCAGAGAGGACGACTTGAAAGTCGAAAGTAGCCCACAAATAAGGTCAGACCAAGCAGGAAGGGAAAAAAAACCAACATATTATGCAACAATGTCACGTCTTGTCTGTTGCTATAACAACCAGCAGCGGTACAAGGACCATGCAAATGGGAAGCGGGGCTCGTCTCCATGGGAAAGTGCATGTTAAGAGCCAATCCGTGATGGTTTCTTTGAGGATGTTGGAAGCGGACGGTCCTGACCTCTGACCCTATTCAGCCGTTGCCTCTTTATATTTCACCAACATTTTAGGGCATCCACTGAAAAGCCAAAACCTTGGAGGGATCCAAAATATAAAGTCTACAGAAACCCATGTAGGTTTACAAAATAATCACAGCCATATATTTATTTATATATATATATATATGAAACTAGATATGTCAAAATGTGGACACAGCTCAGTTTTACCATTGGATTCTCTGTGTGATGGAAATAGTCCTATTGCAGCGACACAGGTGTGCTGAAAACAGGGTTTCATTTTCAATCGGCTCCACTTGAGCACGGTCATGTAAACTCTGCAGTGAAACCAACATCTAAAGGCTGTTTCAAAGCCCCACTCCCCCCCCCGCTGACAAATTGGGACCACTGAATCAACTCACAGCCCCTCTGATGCAAACCAATGTTCACGTGATGATCTGCTCAGACGTACCTTTGCTCGCATGCCTCCATCAGCCAGACAGGCCAATAACGTTAGGTTACATATCAAAACCACTGGCAGTGTAATATCCTTTGTTGATTTGTTCTCTGCTGGAGTTTTTCCTCCCACTTCTCTTCTCCTCAGATGAGATGACGGTCTGAGGTCACAGATCACAGCTGTAATAAGGGTTTTACAGTGTCTTCTGCCGGACGCCAGCTTGCACTCCTGCCTGGATAGCACACATGTGCTGCCAATCACCGTGCAGTGGGCCTCCCCCTTTCACCTCGACGATTGGGCTCACTGTTATTAATATATAAACTGATGAAAACAGTGGATTTTAAGAATGCTACATTCTCTGAATGACTCTAATGTCTAGAGTACCTGATTATGTTATTGAACGCTAGATATCATTAAAAAAATAATAATAATAATATTGATACACAAATATCAGACTTTATTCTGCAGGAATTCACAGGATTGTGAAGATGAGTGAAGTCGTCTCTTCTTTCACTGTTGAATTTGTGTTTTAGAGCTTTTCCTCTCTGCTGAGGGATAAACTATATTTTCTAATCTGATATGGGCATACTGACAAAAAAAAAAAGACGAAGGGTTTGAAAAGTGTTTGTTGCTTGTGTGCGTGTCTGTGTGTGTGAGAATATGTGTGTCAGCATGCATCTTTCAGAGGTCCCACACTGAGTGGTAGCGTCAGAGCGTCACCAGAACGGGGACACGCTGCTCTCCGGGGATTGGAAGGGTCGGACCGGGAAGGAAAGAAAGACACGCAAGCAAATAAAGATGCGTAGAAGAGAAAGATAGAGGCTGCTGCCAAAGTCTCTGGACTAGGAAACTGAAAAAAATGGGACACTTTAATAAGTGTTTCATTTTTTTCTGTCACAACACACACAAAGTTAACTACAAATTCTCTCCGCGTTAAGAATCTCTTTTCGAAAGTGTGCTTGCAGAGAACAGCAAAGTTCAAATGAATATTTCCTCAAGGATGGTGAGTA